TCCTCGTGTGTGTCGTTGTCTGTCGCAGCACGACGGTCGTACACGATGACCACCTCGTGCAGATATATATATATATATATATATATATATATATGAAACTACTGTGCATACAAGAACACAGCAGCAACGCAAATTGTTCCGCAGAACGGCGAGAGAGCGAGATTGTGTGAGAGTACCTGTGTGTAAGTGGAGATGGGGGAGGCGGGTCGTCCACACGGTGTGCAAAAGACTGCGGCATGATGCGCAGGTGTGCACGAGCACCTCTGCCCTTTTTCCAATGTGTGTTGCTTTGGTGGCATCAAGAAACCAGCAGCGAAGCTGCGTCACGCGCTTTACGCCGCTGCTGCTTGCGCATCGCCGTCGCCCTCGCAGCGGTGTAGCAGTGGCACACGGCGACCTTGTGGAGGCCGCTTTCCTCTCGTCTCGCATTCCTTTTTTGTCGGTGTGAGGCACCAAATTTTCCTCTTGGGCGTTGAGATCATTTTCCCCTCCTGTAGGAAAAAGAGAACTCAAGTGCAAACGAAGAAAAGAGAAAGGAGGTAGAAAACTAAAAACGGCGTCAGCACGCCACAGCCACTCGCACATCAATGGTAACAGCGCAAAGCGCTAAGAGATAATAATAGGATAATAACACGAGAAGATCGGTATGCACATGTGTTCGCGAATAGGAAGCATTTTCTTTCTTTGGCAGCGCAAGGCGAAAAAGGGCGGACGAGACATTCTACTCCCATACGTCCTCCTTCCCACTCGCAAGATCGCTCAGCCTTCCCTTTTTAATGTCACGCGCCTTCTCGCCTTCTCTCTTCATGGGGCCATGGGTCCTTCTCTCAGTCGTTCTCCGAAGCGATGTCGTCGGCCTGCTGCCGATACGCCGGGTTGTACGCCGCCAGCTCCTGCCGCATCGCCTTCATTTGCTGATTGCGCTGCGCCAAGAGCTGCTTCACCTGCTGGAACTGCGTCGACTGGTTGAGCCGGGTCGCCAGCTCCCGCTTCGCCTCGGCCACCTCCGACCGCAGCGCCTGCACCGCCGCGTACACCGTCGGGTCGTGGCTTTGGCACCGCGCCGCCAACTCCGCCGCCACACGCTCCTTGTCGTTCATTGCGTCCTGCATGGAGAGCAAGTTGGCCGTGTCCGACGAGCGGCCCGTCATCACCTGCGTGTAGGCGTCCGTCACCTGCTGCAGCTTCCCCTGAAGGCGTCGAACTTCCGCGTTGGCCTCGGCGAGCTGACGGGCAGCCTCCCCGCCTGCCTCCGCTAGCGTCAGCGGGGCCAGTCGGTTCGTCGGCCCACTCATCAGCTGACGGCCGTGTTCGCCCATCGCGTTAACACCGCCGGCGTTGTTCAGCACCGCCGTCGCGTCCACGCTTAACGTGAGTCGCTGCAGATCCGCTTGGCGGAGGACGGCTCGAATCAGCTCCGCGGAGGCGGCCGTGGTGCTGTCCATCTGCGTGTTCACCACCCCGAGCAGCATCGCGAGCTGCCCGTTCAGCATCTGCGCCACCTCCTCTTTGGAGTAGCCGTCGCGCCACAAGTTGCCGCTTTGAAATGCACCGGCCTCAACGGTAAGGTCGCGCTTGAATTTGTCCAGGGAAAGCTTGGACCAACGGAAAAAGTTGTCGATGATCGCCCGGGACTCGGAGGTCAGGCCGGATAGCGGGTCCATTGTGCCTTCGCCTGCGCCGGCGCCTTCAATGCGAGCAGTGCGTGTGCTGCAGGGCCGCCGAGTACGCCCTGCGCCGTTCACCGTCCTTTTGTTTCCTCGTTGCGTCAGCTGCGCAGTCCTCTCACGGAGTCGCCGAAAGAGCAACGCCGCAGAACACCTGAGGAGATCACCGCACAAACAGATGGCGCGCCACGAACGCGCGAGTTCGCCCCAACAGTGGTGAAGTGCACAACGGAGTTAAAAACCAGCCGCGAAGGTGCGCAGGCCTTACCTCACACTTTGGACGGTGGCGGCCGTGTTAATGCTCTCTCTCTCTCTCCTCTATGGTGTTTGTTGACGGTTGCTGTTGTTGGTGGTGGTGTAATCAATCAGACCTTATTGCATAGGAGAACAGAGGAGGGAGGGAGAGGCGAGGAGGGGTCGGCATTGGAAGGAGAAGAGAAATGGCGGAAGAAGTCGTCCAGGCAACAGAAATACACCCCGGGGAGATCTTCCATCGGCGCTGCTTTGTGTTACCGTGCAAACAGAAAACCAAAACGTGGTGGAGCTCTTATTGTTCTGTTACGTGTGCGTGGGTGCTGCAACTTTCAGCTCTAAGGGTGTTAAGTGAGTTTGGAAGACCGAAAGTGTTGCGCGAGACAGCGCGCAACATCTGCGTCCCAGCAACCCCTCTCACACCCCACCACCACCACCACACACGCCTCTTTTTCCTCTATTTCATTAAAACGCCCACCACCACCACCACCACGGCCACAACAAACGGAAAACCACGAAGACGTCCAGCAACAAACTTCGCAGAGGAAAAAAGAAAGAAAATACCAACGTTATCGCGTGTCCTCCAGCAGAGCAAGAGCTGCCGGTGTTTGACGGGGAGGATCGCCCCACCACGCAAACACAGAACCGATAATAAATAGAAAGAGAGAGGAAGAGGAGGAAGCGACATCCTTCCTTGGGAAACAAGATTTCTCCCGGTGCTGCACCCAACGTGCACCGCAACGCTGCAGTACACCCCCACTCCCTCTCCCATACGATTTAGCCGCAGCACTGCATCACAATACAAGCAAATAACAACACCGAGCAACCATGATAATTCCTTGTGGCCCATCAATATTTATAGCCGTTACAAACCTGTTTAACACTTAAATGCGTAGATGTGTGGGTATCTCGCTGACGACGAGGTGGAGAAACAAAACAACGCAAACGTGTAGCTCCAACGAAGAAAGGACCAGTTAGCCGTCTCACTTCGTTACTGCCGCGGTGTAAGTCAGGAGGAGAAAGCTCTATAGGCCTGCCCTGCTGACGGCTTCTCCGTTTGGCGTCCACAATACAGCGTCCTTCATCTGAGGTTGTTGTTGTTGTTTTTCCTTCTCCGATGCGGAACCTAAACCGCGACGTTCCTCGGCGCCTTCGCCTCCTCCTCCTCCATCTTCCTCACCGTCTTGGCCACCGCGTCCGCCGTGAAGGTGTCCAGCCAGTTGCGAAACACAGAGCCCGTGTTCTTGTACGTCAGCCGCAGACGTCCACTCACGAAGTCGTCGGGAATAACGTGAATGTCACGCGCCTTGCGGACCGCGGCGGCGTCCTCGTTGACCTCCTTCGCCGGGGCCGGAGAGGGCGTCGTCTGCGGTGGCGGATTCGGCGAGCTGCTGCTGGCAGGTACGGCGGTGCCTGCAGCTGACACGGGATGTACGGTGTGTTGCTGCTGGACGGACTTGGGGGCTGGGATAGTGATCCCGCTGGCCGGTACCGCGCCTGCTCCGGCTGTGGTGGTGGTGGTGGTGGTGGTGGTGCTCGTGGAAGTGGGCGGGTGATTCACTGGTGCGGACGCGATGGGCGACATGCGCTGCGGCAGCTGCCGCGCCAGGTCCTGTACACTGATGCCCCCGCTGCCCGGCGAGGCAGTCAGCTTCACGTGACCAACGCTGACGTGCGTGTCGGTCATGCTGGCGTCAACGTCGGCGGCAGCAGCGGCTGCGGACGGCGCGGCAGACGAAGGCGTGGAGGAGAGGTGGGCCGTGGCAGAGGCCGGTGTAGAACGCTTCCCGGCAAACGCGGCGCTGGGCGACGGCTCCGTCGTAGTCGCGGCGCTGCGTGGCTTCGGCACGAGCGTGTTGTTGCCGCTACTATGACTCGCGACGGTATGAGGACTGCGGGAAGGCGGCAGCGACGGCGGCGTCATCGCAGCTCGCCCGGCTGCGGCGTCCACGTGGATGCCGTTGGCGTGCAGCAACAAGTTGAGCTCACGCAGCTGCGCCGCGCCCTCCGTTGCATTCACCGCCGTCGTCGGTGCCGTCGCCGCCTCCTCCGCCTCTGCATCGGTCGGCTTCAGCACGAGCAGGGCAGACAGCTTCGTGATGGCCGCACGCGTGTCCTGCAGACGACCGTCGAGCCGTGTTCCACCGGTGAAAGGCTGGTCGTACACGACCTCCGCCTCACGCCCGCTCGCCAGCAGACGCACGATCGTGCCGGGTGCCCCAAAGGGGGTGCTGCCAGTGGCCCGGCAGTTCACGACTCGAGAGCCGAGACGGAAGGTCTGCTCCTGCGGAAGCGGCAGCGGCACCAAATGACCACCGCTGCTCCTTGTTACCGGGAAGTACAGCTGATGGCGGCTGACCTGCCGCAGCGTGAGCTCCTTGAAGGGTCGGTCGCGCTGCTCTGAGAGACTCGCCTCCAACTGCTCCAGTAGCTGCTTGGGGAAGGCCTCCTCCGTCGCCGTGATCATCGGTGTCTCGCGCAGCCCCGTCCCCAGCAAAAAGCCCTCGATCTCCGTCAGCACCTCGTCCGCGTCTCGATCGCGCCACTTGCCCGTCAGGAACATCGGCGGCTCCACGCTGTTCGAGTTCACGCCGCCGTCCTCAATGCACTGAATGAGCGGACGGAAGCGCGTCACGTACTCGCGGAGGACATCCTGCGCATCGCGGGAGAAGTACCACGTCCCGCTACCGCCGCGGTTGTTGCTCGCGTTGCCCACAAAGTCGCCCTTCTCCGCCTTCTCGAGGTGGTAGCCGATGTCCTCTGTGTCCTTCTCCATGCGGGCGAAGATATCCCTGTTGCCCATGTACCACGGGTTCAGACTGTGCTGCACGAGCTTCGCGTAGCCAACCTTGGCGAGGCAGCGCCCCGTGAACTTCAGGCACAGCCCGATCTCGCGCGAGCCGAATGCGGGCGAGGTGACGAGGGAGCTGCAAATCATGGTGAGGGTGCGGGGCATGATGTCCATCGACACGGCCACCTGCGGCAGCGCCGTCCAGTTGCGCTGCGCGGCAAAATGGGTGAGGTCCGCCGGCAGCCGCAGCGGCTCCTGGAAAACCTTCAGCCGCACCGTCAGATGGTCCCCCTGCAGGGTCGTGGTGTCGTGCTGCCCTGCCGTGACCACGGTGCCGCAACTGCCGTACACCTCCACCGGCGACCGCTTCGATTTGGGCTGCGGTCCGATGTAGGCGCAGCGGGCCCCGAAGGCGCAGTCGTCCTCGCTGCGGTCGCGCTCCTCGTAGCGGCTGTCCACCTTCATGTCGATGCTGTCCTTCGTGGCGATGAGGTGAATGGGGTAGCAGGTCCACGTGGAGGCGAAGTGGCGCTCGATGTGGCCGCGGCGGGTCATCTGCATGCCGTTGAAGCGGTGCACGTACACGAGCACGTCGACCTGCTCCACCGCAATCCCGAGCTGCGACTTCATGAAGCGGGCGTGGGTGTCCGCCTCCTTCAAGAAGGCGACCGACTCGTCGCGGTTATTCTTGTGCTCCTTGGCGCCGCTGTACGTGCCCTCCTTGCTGTATGACGCCGTCATGGACCGGTGCACGTCCTTCACAGATGCCACGCGGGCCCGCTTGTAATGCGGGAAGCCCACGAGCACCTCCTTCCCCACCAACGTCGCCACCGGATCGATCGACTTGGCGCTGAAGGCGTCGCGGGTATTGAGCAGCAAACTGTCGCTCTTGGTCGGTCGGCCAAAGATGGTGACCACGCCGGCCTCGAAGGACGGCCGGATGAGGTTCAGCTTCGACTGCATCGTGCTGAAGCCCTCCAGCTGCCGCGTGCCGACGAACGCGCCGGGGCAGAGCTGCGGAATGAAGCGGTCGATCGAGGGGAAGCTGTACACCTCTCGCTGCACCAGGACGTTGCGCAGCGGGCCGAACATGCTGTCGTCCAGCTCGTACGGCATCATGTTGCTGTCGAAGCGGAAGCGCAACGGTGGACCGTTGACGTTGTTCGCCGCATCGTCGGGCTCAACGTTCTTCTGCACCGAATCGTAGGCCGCGACAAGGACGCGCTCGTCAATGAAGGGGATCAGCACGATGCCCTCCCACGGCGCACGGGCGCCCTCGCGGTCGATGACGATGTGGTCCGGCAGGTACTTCGCCAAGGGGCTGTTGGGGCTGCGCAGGAGCGGCCAGTACGCCTTGGGCATCGACAGGTACGACATGGGCGGCAGCACCGCGAGCAGCTGCTGATGCGGAAAGAAAGGCTTGCCGAGATCGAAGTGCACGCCGGCGGCGATGGCGGGTAGGTTGATCATGTCGGACGCCATTGGAGCGTAGTAATGAGGGAAGAACCACTTCCACGACGGCACACCCTGGTAGTAGTAGGCCATGACCCACATCAGCCCCTCCACGTAGTGCTCGCGCAGCTTGCGCATGTCGTCGCTGTTCGCATCCCAGCCTCCGGCAAAGCCGTGCTTCTCGCCGTAGTACCGCTGCTTGAACTCCAGAATACTCGTGATGGGCATCGCGTTCGTCGTGTCGACCTCGTGCGTGGGGTCGCGACGGGCACGGTGCTTTTGGAACTCCGCCTCCTCCTGCTGCCGGCGGCGCAGCGTCTCGAACTCGAGCTTGCCGACCTCGTTCATCCACAGCTCCGCATTGCGCCAGTCAATGATACCGTTGTTCGTCAGGTACTTGTTCTTGGAGAGGACGTGGGCGCAGTAGAGGTGCAGCATCACCGGCATGCTGCCATCGTTAATGCCGACGGTCGGCAGCGTGGGCAAAAAGTCGTTGCCGATGAAGAAGCACATGAACACAAAGTCATCGATCACCCGCTCAAAGTCGAAGTCGGCCACCGCACCCGCCCGCGTCATGCACTCCCGCACCTCCAGCTGGAGGTAGTCGCGGAAGAGGCCGATGTGCAGCAGCACGAACTCGTCTGCCTTATGGAACGCCTTGTCCTTCACGATGCCCTTCGCCTCGTCCTCCTCCTGGCGCTCGCGCTCCTTGCGCGATCCGGGGCCGAAGGTGACCACCTCGCGCAGCAACACAAAGTGAGGCTCGTGCGTGGCGAGCGAGAGCATCACCAAGTCGGCGTCTAGCCCGTACATACAGTGCGTCTCGTTCGGGTCGTAGCCGGGCTGCATCTTGCGGCGGCGAACGAAGTCGACGATCTTGTGCTCCCCCTCACCCGGGCAGTCGTGGCCGGAGAAGATGACTTGGCAGTTTTGCCACGCCGGGTCGGTGGCGAGCTTCATGGTGATGAAGTACTGGAACTCCGTGCTCACCCGCACCATGAAGGGCGTCCCGGGCGTGATGCAGTTGCTGTCAAACACGTCCTTCTCCTCGGGCACCTCCTCGCCCATCGCCAGCGCCTCCTCACGGGCGATCATCATCTCATAGCCGGCGCGGTAGCGGCGCTGGCGCTGCTGGTTCATCTTCGCCCGCGGTGCGACGCCGTCGACGGCGAGCAGGAAGTACTTGCGCGGCTGAATTGCATTGAAGAGCTTCTCGAGGTAGGTGAACATTGCCTGGATCATCTCCTTCTCTGTTGGGCTGCGCCGCGTAGCGTCGATGTCGTTCGGGTGCGTGCAGTTGTGAATGATGCCGTTGATGTCGAGGTACAAGTTGTCGACCGGCGGTGGCGAGTCCTTGAAGGGGGTAATAATGGACGGGTAGCGCTCGGCCGCCCAGCGGAAGAACTTTGGAACTCCCATTTGTGAAGCCCAACGCGTGTGTGTTGATGAAGACGATGATGATAAAAGGAGAATATATATATATCTGTGTATTGACCGTGTGCCTGTAAGAGGGTCGCTGTGCTCCACACTTTTCTTCTCACCAATTTGGCTCACAACACAACACCAACAAAAGCAAAGATATTTTAAAAAAGAAGGCTAGTAGACAACAACGCCAAGCACGCACGAGGAAGAGCCGATGAGTTCCCCCCTTCTCTACGTCAAACAACAGCAGCAACAAAAGTTCGCGGAAAACCTCCGCTTCCAAGCACACAGAAAAAGAGGGGTAATAATACTAATGAAAAATACTCAGGCGAGACGTACGAGGCAAAGCGAAGGTGAAGTTTGCCTCCGTGATGAACGCACACAGAATCAGGAAACCAGCACGGCTTCAGTTCTACAAAGGCACCCACACACAAGTAGAAAGGAAGAAACGACTGTAGCAGTATACGTGATACGTAGATGTACGGGGATGCGAGCCAGGAAGTAGAGAACACCGTCTATTCGGAAGCCGTGTGTACAACGCTTTGCGGAGACAAGCAATATACAAGCAGGCTCTCAGGCGACTCCTTCGTCGAACGTTGTATTGCCGCGCGCTCTCCGTTTCAGTAATGATAAACTCTTTCTTCGTTGTTGTACGGGGTGAATGGCTGTAGCGTACCAACTCGGAATCGCTGGATGTCAAGCAAATGAATTACTAATAAAAACGAGGCAAATCGAAGTCAAATCATACCGAAGGCGCGCGAGACACACACACACACACGCACGCAAGGGCCCCGTAGGTGAATGCGTGTGATGAAGGCAGCTTCGGCGATAGGTTTCCACTGAAAGCAAAGCGGGAGGAAAGAAGTAGGACCGCACAAACACAAGAGAAAGGAAGGAGAGTAAGATGGCCACCTAACAATGACGGTAAACTCAGAAAAGGAAAGGGGGAAGGGAGTTGAGTGGATGGATCTCGTTTGAGAGATTGTAGAAAGGTGAAGAACGGCAACGTATGGTAGGGTTTTTCTGGTTGGTTGTTGCCTTCGATAAAAACACAAAAAGAGACACGCAGAGGACAACGAACCGAGAGGACAAACAAAAAAGCCGCACGTGGCAGAAGACACAAATTCTACTCTTTCAACAACCCGAACGTGCATTCAGCGGGGAGCGTAAGAGGAGAGAGGGGCGGAGCGGGTGGCAGCCAACGGCGCACGCAGCAAAAGTAGGTGGCACGTGCGTGAGGACACGGTGGGGGGGGGGGGGAGAAGGTGCACAAAAAAGAACAGGGGAGAAGAGTGAGGAGGGAAACCATGAATACGGAAAGGATCGAAGTGAAAAAGCATACAACACCGAAGCAGCCGCAGTACCTTCTTCTTCTCTCTTTCCGTTTCCTATTTGTCACCCGGCTGTCACTCGTCGCGGTGCGTTGTGGAAGCTCTTCGTGCGCTGCGGTGCAACGATGAACGCGGCAGTCCACATAACCGTCGCTTGAAGACGACGGCGCACGTTTGGTGTAATGCTGCGTGGCAAACAAGAGACCAGACGTAATCAACCGTTTCGCATGCGTCCATCATCGTTGACTGGGCAATTTGTCTTCATCAAGAAGCACTCTGTTGTTACTGCGGTTTGCCTTTCCTTTGTTCTTCTTTTGCTGTTGTTGCTGATGCCTTCAAAGGCGAACTCCGACGTAAACCTAAAAGCGCGGCGATGATGCAGAGGAGCACGGAGACCCGAGAAAGCGGCGTCACCAGCGCCTTCCGAGAAAACCAAGAGCACTGATGAGGATACAAAATGCGTAGAGACAAATATTCTAGAACACACAAGAAGAAGATGCCTTTACTTCACAGATTCGGGTCCCCCCCCCCCCTCTAAAGCCGCATGCACGTCTCTTTCGAGACATCCGCCCTCAAAAACGCGTTGTACGCCCTTCGCGTCGCTTTACATCGTGCGGGCCACACAAAACCAGGAGGGAAAAAATGAAATTGAAGGATCCCAATAGTACAGACATGGGAGCTATCCGCTGAAGATGAAAGAGAAAAGCACACACACACACACACATAAAGATATAAATATATATATATATATTACCATGTACATCAGAACGACTACTTTACACCCTTTCTTAAAAGAAAATACAAGAAAAGAGAAAAAAAAACAGGAACAGAAAAAAAAGGCTCATTTTAATGCGCTAAGCAGCAACCTCGGAGGCCGCCGCTGCGTCCAGCTGCGGCACCGCGGAACTCTCCTGCGTCTTCGTCGCGTTCGCCGACGCCGTGCCGGTGCAGGCAAAACGCGGCTGGCGGGCGTGGCGGCAGCCGACCACCGACGAGTTCGCCTTCAGCGTCCCGATGGGCGAGTACTCCTTCTTGGTCAGACGGTTCCGGTGATCAATCGTGTCGGCCTCCCGTGCGAGGTCCATCGTGTAGTCGCCGACCTGCAGCACTTCATTGCAGTGGCAGTGACGGCTGACGTGCTCGGCACCGGTCGTGGTGCCCTCCGCGCGTAGGTAAGCGCGTGGCCGATAGTCGCAGCTGCTGTGCATGAAGTTGCTGCGCACGTCGCGCACCCCCTGTGGCGGGTCCTGCGGCCTCAACAGATAGCTGTTGTAGCTAATCGGCGTGAAGTCGTAGCCCGCCTGCGACAGCACCGGCGGCGGGGTGTTCTTGTACAGCTCCTCCGGTGCGAAGGTGCGGGGAATCGGCTTGCTGCTGAGGTGGTGACCGCCCGCGTTCACCAGCGGCTTCAGCCGCGGCTCCTGCTGCGCCCGCCGCGCCGTGGAGAGGGACAACGTTTCCGCTTTGAACACCGCATTCGGGCTGTAGGACGTGGTGCTCCGGAAGGAGTCTTTCGACTCGGGGTTGGTGCGCTCGAACTGCTCGTAGTGGCCATCCGAGAAGTTCAGGCGGATCTTCAGTGGCCCCCACGGCTTGTCGTTCGCCTTCTGCACCGCGGACACGGCATCCTTGTAGGTGCACCCCTCGGCCAGGCTGAACGTTTTCCACGTGGCCAGCGGGTGGGTGGCGAGGCCGCCGCCGTTGTAGTTTGTGTGGTCGGGGTTGTAGCCCTTCTTACGCATCGCCGCCTTGGTGGGCAGGCTGAGCACCGCGTAGCTGATCGCCACGGCGTCGTTGCTTGGCTCGCTGTAGGTGGCGTCCATTACGACGATGATGATGTCTGTGTGTGCGGGTGTCGAAGAACAAAGAGACAAGCAAAAGAAGCACTATCTTCTTCTGCAATGATAAAAGATGGCGTGCAGGTGGTGTGGGTGGTGTGGGTGTGGATGTGCCTTGAAGAGGTGAAAATGAAAAAGACAATGGCTCTTGACAACGCACAATGAAGAAAGTATATATATATATATATACGTCGGTGTGAGTCGTTTAAATTGGCGTTCAAAAAGTGTTGTGTGAGCTGTGGCGACGCCTGCTGTGGAAGCGTGAGACGGTGCAAAAGAGCCGCGAACTGCACGCAAGTCCGGCAAACCGCAAGTTGTATTGTGCGAGCACGAGAGAGGCGGGGAGAGAATGCGTGAGGTGAACGGAAAAAAAAGTTAAAACGAGTCAGTGAGAGTTGCTAAAGAAGCAAAGGAAAGAAGAGGAGGCCATCACGTCCTGGAAGTCCTTTCGTAGTGATGCACGCCGCCCAAGAGTCTCCAACAGATGAGCGCATTCGCTTCCCAAACAGTACATGTATCAGCTCTTCTAACTCTATCTTCTTCTTTTTCATAAGCAGAAGAACACCCCATTTAGTCACTTAAAAGAAAGAAATCTGCTTTCACACGATAGGACAGGTGTGCGCTCTGAGCCGCAACGGCGCACGAGGCCTTCACGTCTCACTCGTCTCCCCAGAGGCCACGGCACTCTCCACCGCGAGAAGCTCGTGCGGCTCAAAAAATGCCATCGATGTCGAAGATGTGAAAGGCGCTGCTCGCGGTGCTCTCCCGCGGTCCGACCTCCGTCACCTCGTGCCCCACGTCGTCCACGTCCACCACCGCAGCCGGCGTGGCGGCGACGAAGGGACGGGCTGCCGTCGAACTTGACAAAGCGGCGGTGGTTTGCGGCGCAGACCGCGTACGCGCAGACCCACTCGCACCGCCACCACCGCGGCCGCGCCGGGCCGCCGTGCCTCTCCGCCTATTCGACGCGTGATGGACGACGGTGTCGAAGGTGTTGAAGGCCGCATTGGCCAACGCCGCTTCTCGGCTCTGCAGTGCGCTGCCGCTGCTGCCCATGACCACTTGATCCGGCACGACAGTATCCGCGTCTACCGTCGGCACCCGCGCCACGAGCATACTGGCGGCGAGCTGCCGACGAGCGCGGTGTTCCTCCAACTCCACCAGCGGCTCGGCAGGAGGCAAGGCCTGCTTCACAAAGGCCTTGCGCTGCTCCGCTGGATTTGCTGAGGTGGACGCTGTTGTCGCCGCTGTGGTATCGGCAAAGCACGGGTAAGGAGGCAGAGCGTACGGACTGAAGTGAACGTCGACCGTCCGTGCAGTGCCTGTCGCTCCTTCTTCCCGTTCCTTGAGGCCGGATGGGACAGCCACACCGCTATGGGGAGTTGCAGCAGCTGCCACAGCAGCGGACTTTCCCAGAGTCACCCAGCCGTCTGCGTCCTCTCTTCGCGGGCGCTTGTGCGGATGGGCCTCCGAGCGCAAAAGACCGTCGTTCCCGCTTTGACCCCCTTTGTGCAGCGCCGGCGGTCCATCCGCAGTGTCCGCGGCAACATCCGGAAAGAGCGGCTGGGCATCGGTGCGACGCCCTGTTGTGGCGGTGTCCTCGTCCTGCGCACCCGCATTCCACTCGCTGTCCTGGGTGTCGGAGTCGTGCGCTGAGGAGGCCTCGCCCAGCGCCAGCCGCACGCGGGCCCGCACCTCCTCTACCGTCTGCGGCAGCCGTGCATGGTCGGGGTAGTCGGCCAGCAGCAGCGGCGGCGGTGCACGTACGAGGACAATAGACTCGATCAGCAAACCGTACTCGACGCTGCACAGGCCCAGCGCATGCTGCAGGACGGGGAGGCAGAGCGCAAATGGCATCTCCGCCGTCTCGTTGTACAGCACGACGTGTCGCTGATGACGCGCAAAGAAGGATTGCATCTCCTGAAAGCTCTGTGAGGAGAAGGAAAGAGCCGCCGAGCCATCGGAGGAGGGCGTGACCCAGTCCCCGAGGGCTCCCTCCCACACCACCGTAGCGCCGGTGCAGTCCAGGTAGGTCATCACTTCCTCGTACAGCACGCGCTGCACGACGACGAAGGTCATCCCACGAAAGAGCTCACGGCGCTGCGGGTTGGGGGCGAAGTATGCAGACAGTTGTGCCTGCTGCACTGTTGACCCTGCTGTGGTCGTGGGCACGGGGGGATCCGCCACCATTACCGAGGACACCGAAGGTGAGACGGTGGCCGACGTGTCCGCCGTGTGCGATCCGCTACCAGACGTCGCCGCTGCGGCCTTCACCCCCTCCAGTGAGGCCTGGCGAGCGTTTTGGATCAGGTCGCGCCACCACGTCGAAAGCGGCGGGGTAAACCGGCGCGGGTCGGGCAGCGGCAGCTGCGGCGACACGCGATCACGAATCGCCGTGAAAAAGGTAGGCGAAACAATCGGCACCGCCCTGCACAGCATCCCCACCACTGCGGTGGAAGGCTGCACGGTGCTGGTGACTAAGAAATCTACGTGGTTGTAGCAGGAGGCGGCGGTCGTCGTCGTTGATGCCATCCCAACTGTGAAGGCCTGTGTGGGGTGTGAAGGGCCAGCGGGAGAAGGCCCAGACCCCGACGGCGTAGCCGGCACGGACGTCCGTTGACTGAGGCTTAGCACACCACTGCCTCCCAGAACCGCCGGGAGCGGCCTCGCACCCATCGGCACACCTTCCCCACCCGTCGCACTGCGCTCACTCAAGGTGTTGCGGCTCAACGGCTGTTGCTGCGGCACTGCAGAAGAGTTTTCCGCTGTGCCGTGGGGCGATGATGGTGGTAATGGTGGTGGTGGAAGAGAAGGGTCTGCGGCGATCTCCTCACGACGCACCCCACAAGATCGCAGGGCATGGGCCAGCTTCGTCTGCATCTCATCCTCGATGTCCTCGCACAGCACCGCCACGTCCACCCACGTCAACCGCAGCGCAGCGCCGTGGTGACCGAGCTGAATCGTGAAGCGCCGCCATGACGCACGATGCACGGGCACGTCGTAGGGCACGCCCTTTGTCAGCTGCAGTGCCGGCGGTACATTGGTCTTCTTGTCCGAGCCACTTCGATGCGATGCGGACCCCGACCTGCCGCGGGCAACGGCGGACGGTGCGTACCGTAACCCAACAATACCCGTGTCCAGCGCTGCCGTGGTTCCGTGAAGCGCGTTGGAATCCTGCGTCTCTTCATCCTCCTCGACGTCCTCCATGGCAGCCGCAACTGCGGTCCCGTAGGTGGACGAGTCGGTTAACGTGATGGGCTGCGGGGTGGAGGACGGTGACCTGTCCCGCCGCTCCTCCTCTGACGGCCCACCGTCGAGCGGTGGAAGCCCAACATGCAGCGTGAGGTGCACGCGACTGATGCTGCGGTCATCCAGAATTACAACGTGGCAGTCCTTCTTGCCGACTCGGTAGGTTTCGCCGCCGATGAGCCAAAAATGCGGGGTGTCGTGGAAGAATATCACCCACATGGACCGTCGAAGTGGTCACGATGGAGTGAAGATCTATGCGTGCTCCTCCTCTATACTATTGGTTGGTTGCTGTGTGTGTGCGTGCGTGTTAGACGTCTGGCTTGAGAGGGAAAAAAGACAAGAAGAAATATCTGTAGTCTTCGAAGGATACCCTGCGCGTTAGAGATGCGCTGCGTTGCAGGCGCAAAAAAAGGAAAAAGACGGAATCTCTGCTGGCAAACGCCCTCAAGCGGTGTGAATGGGCGCACGACGCGGCGGATGAACACGCACGGGGAGGAGGGGGGGGGGGGGCACCGTGTGCGTGAGACACTTGAGAGCATTCGCTGCGGTTCACGATCTCTCGTCTGTACGAGGAAAGGCACGCCAGGGGAAAAAAATAAGCGCTGCCAGTAAAATATTACTAATAAACGAGTAGAAAGGCGGTACTCGCGATTTGGCAGCACCACAACGAATGCAACCAAGGAAGACAGGAAAGAGGTGGAGGAAGAGACAGTGAAGAGGGTAGAACAGCGGCTTTTCTGCTCCTCTGGTCTTCGCGGTGGTTCTTGTGAGACGCCTTGTCCGCTGCACCGCCTCTCATACTACGTTGTCACTCAACACTGCAAACGTAGTCACCCTCATGGACGACGCCTTATCGTCAAAGGAGAATTAGAGCACCCCTGACCGCCTGTGCCGCGTGACCCCCTTGCCGCAATGAACGAGTAAAGAGAAGGTTTCCTTGGCGCGACCCCGGTGTCTTGCATTCGCAGAAGACAGTAGCCACCACTCCCACGCGCTCAAGAAGAAATAACAACGGCAGGTTCGATTGCTCCTTTCCGCACTGGCATTTTCCTTTCATTGGTATCTCAAGGGAGGCTAGAACGGACAAGTCCAACCTCTGAGTGTGCATGTGTACGATACTCTAAAAAAAAAAAGGCAGCGTTCTCCAACGCTCAGCAGCCGATAGCACTCCTCGCACGGCATCAAATCAGGAGTCGACAAATGTTGCGCATAACAAGACCAGAAAGGAAAAGCACCGCGACCACGCAGATGACTTCGTAACTCCGAGTCAGCGGGTCGGACACCACAGCCGGGCAATCCGCTGCTACATGGGCACATTCACCGCCCCGACAGGTGGAGGCCCCACACGTAGGAAGCGACGTGTGAAGGCTCGCATCACGCACTGCAAGCGGTGGCTGACGCTTCAACTCGTCCGGGGTGATAGACAACGGGGAGGGAAGACTCTCCGGAGGATAACAGCGGACCTCCTGCGCACCGACCTTACCGTGCGGGGTGAACGCGGAAACTCCGCCAGCGCAGTACACACCGCCGCTGTCCACGCACTCCCGGCAGCTTGGGCGGCTGCCGTAGAAGCACGTGCGCAGGTCAATGCACGGCGTCGGTCCGTCGCAGGTGCAGTTGCCAGCCGGGTAGCACCGCATGGTGGAAGGGCACCACCGCTGGGACAGGTTCACGGTGCACTCGCCGCACCCCGTGATGGGGAAGAGCGTGTACGCCCCTCCACCGCCGCCAACGGTGGAGGAGAGAAAGGATGGATCGGCGTGCTTCGACGAGGCGGACACACAAGTTGCTGCCAGGAGCAGCGACGCTAGGAGAAGGATCAAAGTACCGGGAAGTCGCGGGGCCGCCGGCGACGCCGCTCTCCGTCTTACACCAGCCGGGGCTGAACATTTTGCACGGCAGGCGGGCATTACGTTGACGTGCACGCGCAATCCATGCTGGTGAGGGTCCTTCCTGTGTTTGACTTGCTTTTCTCTTGTCAATGGACGTCGGTGCGCTGTTGACGAAGACGCGTGTTCGTGTGAAGAGGTGAGAAGAAGAGGGAGGGAAAGAAGCGAAGCCGATGCGATAGAAAAGGCTGCGTGTGGGTGTGAAGGTGAAGGTGCAAGTTGAGGGGAATTGGAATCGGCATCCCACGTATTTTGGATTTCTTTTTCCCCTCTGAGAAGCTCCAGCACACAAGCTGTATCGGAGCGGCCTCAAAAGAATCAGTCCAGCCAAAAACGAAAACCTTCTTTACTTCTTTGCTTGTGTGAGTTCCAGAGAAAGGGGGAAAGGGGAGGAGAGGTGCGTCCCGCACCTTCTCTTTCCTTCACGGCGCGTTAGGGAGGGGGGGGGGAGGAGGATACTGCACCACAAAAAATAATACAGGAAATGGGAAAATGGTTCTCCTGCCTCCTTACCTCCAGCTGTCGTGCATTCGTGACCCCCTCACCGCCAGCATGTCCGCCATCTCGTTTCCGTAGTCCTTCGAGTGTCCCTTCACGTGGCGCAGCTCAATCCCTTCCGTTTCGTCGTTGCAGGTGTTGTGCGTGTGGAACCTCTTCGGGGGGGAGGTCAGCGACTCGCGTGTGAAGGCGTACGGGTGGCTCGACTCGATCGCGTGTTGCTGCTGTGCGTAGCAGGTGTTGTAGGCATCTCGTAACCGAATCAGCTGCTTCCACAGGTCCTGATTCAGCACCGGCTCCTTCGTGGCGAGCTTGAAGCCGTTCGCCATCCACTTTACGGAGTAGCGCGTCAGTCCATCAATGACGTAGCGGCTGTCCGTGTGGATAACGAGGCGACGCAGCGGCCGCGCCAGCTCCGACACGCGCCAGTCCGGCGTGACACAGTGGGAGACGTCCAGCGCCTCTTTTGGCGCGCCGGCATCGACGAAGCCCTGCACGATGCAGTGGATCACCGCCCGCATCTCACCCCGGTTGTTCGTCTGCGCCTCGGTGGCGGGCACGGGGAGGGCGAAGTTGCGGGCGTCGTGGGAGCTGCCAAAGTAGCCGCCGTAGCCGGCACGTGCGCGGGGGGTCCCGTTGTGACTGCACGCCCCGTCCACGTAGACGACCTGGTGATGGGAGGAAGATAAAGGACTGTCTCCCTCGTACGTGGAACGCGGCATTGCCGTCTCGATTCTTGCGCGTCGCGTCGATGGCGGAGAGGCAGCGGCTTCCTCGCAGACACCACGCAAACGTTGCGGCTTCACCGGCGGTTCAGAGCGCGGCGTTTCGATAACGGAGGCGGAAGCCTCGCCTCCGCTATCATCGTGGGAGCTGCTGGGTGCTGGGTGTGCGTCGAGAAAAGCTCGCGCTTCTGCCAAGGTGCGAAAGCTTTTGTATATAGCTCCACTGAACCCCTTTACCTGCTCGGAGCATTGGTCCCAGGTCGAGTAGATGCCTCGCTGCTTGCCTATCGCCACGGCATAGAAAGAAGCCTTCATCAGCGACGCCGACGAGGAGGTGCCTTCCGTGTCCAACGCGCGTGGTGCTTCTGCTGTGATGCACGACGATGACGGCGTCGCTTCTGCAGCTTGCAAAATGCAACGACAGAAGTTGAGATCCTCGCAAATCTCCGACGTTGCGGATTTGTTTGTAGAGGCAAGTTGCCTTGGAGAGGCTTCCCTCGATTTTGGTCGTGTGTCACGCGAAGGTGCACGTCGCCTTGCTAATAAAACCTGCGTAGGTCGAAAACCCCCAAAGCGCGCTGCGCTGCCGCTGCTGCTGGTGCTGCTGGTGCTGCTGCCGTGCGGAATGCCCACGTCTGTTGGTAAAAATGGTGGCGGGAGGCGCTGATTTCGAAGGGAGAGAAAAGGCGCGGAGGTCAACGACGGTGGCGCAGTGCGTTTGACGGGTCGGCGAGAGACGACAGTCACCGTGTAGTGAAATCGAAGGCGAAGTACACGTAGTGCGCCTGCTAAAAGTGAAGAGTGTAGATACTGTGAGGACCGAAGAAAGACGGCGGCAGCGTCAACGACCATTTACTGTTGAATGCTGCCTCTGTGTTCCAGAAGAGAGACCAAAAGAAAAAGAAAAACAGAAAACGACGTGCGTAACGCTTCCTCACCTCTCGTTATTTCTAAGAGCAATAAAAGAAGAGTTGAGATGAAGGGGAAATGCAGTTTTGGTTTGTTCGGACGATGGGGCGAGACACTCCCCAAAATGTTTCACAGAAAACAAGGGAAAAAAAGCCGCACGACTTCTCCGTCTTCTTGCACCTCCTTTGAGGAGTCGATGCAAGACAGAAAGGTTGCTTGCGGGGCCAGTCTTTACGGTGTAACTATGAAAGAGAGAACCTACGACGATTACCTCGCCTCCTTTGCCTCTTCATCTTATTGATGGAGACAACGGATAATGAGCGCTTCCATGAAAAGTGCCTTGCACAAACCACGGTCCCTGTTCCTTCGTTTTACGGTGCTGACACGGTGATCGGCTTGACAGAATCCGGTTACGTTAAGCGAAAGAGAAAAGCAACATTGGAAGAAAAAAAAGGCTTGTGATAGGAAGAAGGAAAATCCTTACCCGGCGTAATGCGTCTAAGGAGCCGTAACCTATTCTTCCAGAGCAGATGCATGCAGCTTGTGTGGTTGACCATGTGCGCCACAAGACCTAAGCGCGTCTTGGCCGCGTCCATGTTCCCGTGTCGCCACCTCGGCACAGCTGCCAGAGGAGCGAACACACGTACCACAGGTTGGCCCACACACGCACACACACACACCAAACAAAAAAAAGGGCACGTCTCCGCCGACGTCAGCGCACCTCTTTTCGAACGTGCTACTTCCCACATGTGCACAGCTGCTTATGCACCTTCCAATCCGCCTTCTGGCACTCCGCCGTGCAGTACTTAGCAACCTTGCAGCGACTGCAGCGCAGCAACGGGGCTGCCATTAACACCGCGTTGGCCCCGCGATGGCAGCGGAAGCACCCATTCGGGCTCGGCAGCCCCTGCGCCGTCGTCGCGTCCTCCATGTCCATCATGTAACTCGCCGTCGCCACCGCCGCGCAGTTTTCGGAGCTGCACACCGGCTGGGGCAGGTCCTCCACGCGCGGAGGGAACGCCTCTGCAAAGAGCATTGTGTGGTGGATGAGTCGAGTGGCGGGGGCGGTCTTGCATGTGCAGCACATCGCGTCCGCCCCGGCGAGTTGCTCGAGAATGGTGGAGCTGACCTCCTCAATGGCTTTGTGGACGTCCGTCTCGTACAACTCCGGCGTGAGTTTGTTGATCTCGGTAGAGAACTGGAACTCCTTCTCGCCGACAGCGGCGTGGTAAATGTGAAGAACCATCGTTTGTTTGTTTGCGCGTGTGTGTGTGTGTGACGAACTTTGGCCGGTGAGTGCAGAGGTGAGGTGGCGATACGGCGTGACCCGAACAAATCCTTCTTCTGATACTGCAGGCAAACAGCCGCTACACAAGCGAGAGAATTGTTTGTTGGAAAAAAGGGCAAAAAAAATATGAGGATGGAAAAGCGGAGAAACAGTTCAAGGACTTTGAGAATCTTTTCTTTGTTTGTGGGGGGCGGGGGAGGGGGAGGGGGCGGGTTTCTGCGTACTTCGACTTGCTGCTCACTTCGTACACACCTTATTCCCCGTATCCACAGCGATAATCCTTTTCGTTTTCGTTCTTCTCATTTAGAGGGGGGCTTAACGCCACTACGGAGGCACTGAACACGAAACAAGAAAAAACAAAGCCAACATATACCAGCAAATCAAAAAGAGAGTTTACACAACAACTGTACACCGTAGATTACTGAAAAGGAGAGAAGGAAACAAAAACTTGAAAGGAGAGAGTCACCTGGGTCAGCAAGTGCAAAAAAAATTTGCTTTCGGAAATCGGAAAAAAGGGCAGATCTTTACGAAATACAGCACTGACGACGAGGGGCACTTGTTCTCTGAAATTGAAGTGCAAACCATAAACTTTTGACGCACGATACAGAAAACTGGACAGATACCCGAATCACGCCATTACTGTACCTCTCGCCACGCGCTGCGCGCTTACACAACCAGATCAGAGTTGCTGTCTGTTTGGACCTTTCCATCTCTTGTAAGCCCATCTTTTTTTAAATTCCTTGTTGCCATTCTTGTACTATATGGAACTGTTACCGGGTCCTACAGACAACCACACGCGACGCCTGCAACGAGAACGTGGCCTTTTCCTCACACCCTTCCATCACCAGCCACCACAAACACAGCCTTCAGCAGCGCGGTGGCAGTACACGAAAAAGACAAGAAGAAGAGCTGTTTCGCGCACCGGCATAATTAAGTTGACCATCAGAGAGAACCTTCACAGGTACTCTTTTCTTTTATTAGTATCCTCAAGAGAAGCAGTTATATGTGTGGTCCTCATTGCTGTCGGTGACCTTTTCCCATTTCTCTTTCATGAAAAATAAAAAACACAGAGAGAAATTTTTCGAAGATAAAGAAAGAAAGAAAAACGCAATTGCACGGAGGTGAACATCGCTCTCCATACTCCCTACGCAGCCTTGCACTAAACTGCGTTGAAGGGAAAGGACGATCACAAGTACACGAGATCCATTTCGAATGATCCGCAGTAAAGAAACGGCAAAAGGAAGACGACAAACAAAAAAACACAAGACGGCTCAAACGATGAAACGTGGGAAGAGCATGACAGCAGAGACAACCACAAAACAATTCTGGTGGGCAGCAGAAAAAAAAAGGCACAACTCCTTTACACCATTTCCACATCTGATCGTGCACCAACGACCTCGTGTGAGGCTTTTTCTGAAGAAGATAATAATAATAATAATAATAAAACATTTCTTTTTAAGCCTCAGCCTTTTTGTGTGGCGAGGTGCACTCGTGTCAATGAAGAACAGTTCACTGACGGAGAAATCAAAATCAGCTACGAAGTATCGTTACATTTTCGTTGCTGCTTCACAAAATAAAAGGAAACTCCTTGTCGGAGCACTGGTGTTACCTTGCAGGACTTATTCTCTTTCTAGAAGAGCTCTTTTGTTGTTGTGTGGGGGAAAGAGAGTGATGTCTGCGCGAGAGTGCGTTCTCGCGGCATACTTAGGTCGCCAACAATAACAATAACACCAGCAAACAACAAAAAAAAACAGGGAAAAAGGAAAAGGAGAAAAACTTTAAAGTGGCGTGCGTGGTAAATGGTACAACAGTGGACGTCTTAGCTGTGGAGGGAAAAGAGCGAAATGACAACATAAAAATGAAAGAAAGGAGGGGGAAAAAGATAAACGAGCGTAGCGAAAACAAAAAAAAACGGATTCAAGAAAGAAAGAAATATTATATATGTATGTATAGTCTCACTCGCGGACTCCGTCGTCAAAGATTAAAAAAAAAATGTGTCCGCTGAATACAACAGACCAAATATATATACTGTGAAAGTAAGTAGAGGAGGTTTACTCGACCATCATCGGCCTATGAGTGGGTTCAATCAAGTACACGAATAGCCATTTGCTTTAATTATAGAAAATCAAAAGGAAGACGGCCAGTTAATAAATAAATAAAAAACCAGTCTCCGAATTCAATGGTTGTTTAGAGTATTTTGCCGCCACTGTCACGAATGATCGTCTGCTACATCCTTCTTCCTTTTGTTTAGCCGCCCCAGGTTATTTTTTCTTTTCATCTTTCCTTTCCGTGTCAAGCAGAGAATGTGCCGCTCTCTCTTTTTTACGTCCATACGGGTTTGGCGCGTGTGTGTGTGTGGAAACACCAGGCTGCAAGCTCGGAAAACTGCCGCAGCGTACGAGAAGGAAAACAAAAGGAGAAAAGAAAACCTCACCATTTGCCTTACCTACTGGCGGGACTCGTTTGCAGGCTCGGCCGCTTCGTTGGACTGGCAGCGTTGAATCTTCTTCGCCTCCTTGCGGATAACCTGGCCGGTGACGTCGATGTCGTCGCAGATGCGCGCGGCGGGGACCAGCACAAAGCTGAGCGGTACAATGAGCATGGGCAGCAGAATGTGACCGACCAGCAGCAGCATCGGCACATTCGAGAAGTCGCACGGGGCGGACGTGGTGATGGGCCAAACGAACTCCATCAGCAGCGACCCCACCGTGCTGGAGAGCGAATTGCCCAAGTTACCAAAGCCGGCCACCACCGCGTACACCATACTCTCCGACCCACGCGGGCAGACGCGGGAGAGCAGCACAACCGTCGGCATGTAAGCCAGGTAGTAGCTCACTTCGTACACCACGGCATCACCGAAGAGGTACATGGCGTGGTCGGGGATGCCGATATCCATGTTCCAGCGCTTCACGATGACGATGTCAAACACGGAGGCGATCACCTGAATGAAGTAGGTGAACATCAGCGTGAAGCGGATGCTGTGCTTCGAAAAGATGTACGGGAACGCGGAGACGGCGGCAATGCCGGCAACGTTGCCGATCACCGCACTGATAGTGTTGTAGAAGGTGTACGAGAAGTGCGGGCCGTTGGGCAGACACGTCTCCTTCGCCATGTAGAAGCTGTCCAGCGCACCGGGCAGCTGCAGGTAGAGGAGGGCGTAGCAGAAGAAATAAATGTTCACCTTGGCGATGAGCAGCGGAAGAGCCCAGAAGGCACTCATGGCGCACGCCACCACCACCGCGATACACGTGTACAGCAGCTGCCATTTGGTGCCCAGGATCGTCATGCACGTCATGGTCACCAAGGAGCAGACCATCACGCTGCTGTAGATCAGCAGACGCCAGTTGCGCTTGATCACCTCCTTGTTCACATCCAGCAGTCCTCCGCAGCAGCGTATGATGCCCAGATCTCCATCGCCCTCTTCCTCCTCGTTCACCAGCTGGTTGTCGCGCAGCGTGTCCACGGCCAGGCTGTCCTGTAGATCGCCGGTGTTGCTGTAATACCCCACAGGGTCCTCCACCGTAGGCTTCTTCGGGTCGAAGTCCGTCTCCGGCTCCGCTGACGGACCGCTGCCAGTCGCAGGTGACGACGCAGCAGCGGCGGCCGCCTCACGCCCCTGCAGTAGCGCACGCTTCAGCTCCTCCTTCGCGCCCTGCACATCCTCCAGTCGCTCGACCCGGTTCCTGCGCTCGCCGTACCAGTTCAGCACAAAGAAGGTTGTCGTGATCAGCTGCGTTACGCCTGCCACGTAGAGGCCCACCTGCGGAATCGCCTTATCTGAGAGGGGTCCCTGGATCACCGCGGCGACGATCGTGGCGCCCAGGATGAACCACCAGACCCAGCTAACGAGCGCCGGACCGCACCGCGGGTGGCGGCGCATGAGACGGCTGTAGTGACCTTCGGAGAGGATATCCACGTTTGCCATGAAGAAGCCCGTGAGGAAGACGAAACCGGCGGCGATGTCGGCGCTGGACGGCTTCTGCGGCAGACAGCCGTACCCCACCGTGAGGGCCGCGCCGATCACACACGACGCAGCGCAATACCACCGCTTCGTGTAGCCAAAGACGGCGAGGGAGTCGGACAGCATGGCCGCGAAAGCCTTGATCGACCAACCCATCTTCGTAATGCTGACCAGGCGCTGGTAGCGCATGCCCGAGGTACCGAAGCGGCCCACAAACATGGCGTAGCGGGCGTAGGTGATCAGATTGTTAGCGATGCCCTTGGAGAGGAAGTACACGCAGCCCAACGCGATGGTGCACTTGGGGCCGTACCCTTGGCAGCACGTGCTGAAGATGGGGAGTTTCTCCGTCCACGGCACCTTCGCAAAGAGCGCGCGTGCATCTGGGTGGACGTAATGCTCCTCGTCGTCAGAGGCCACGCCCTGCTCGTAGGGCATCTGGTTGGCGCTGTCCACCACATCGATGTTCGTGAGATCGACGCGGAGACGACTGTTGAAGTCGTTCTCCTTCTCACGATCATCTCCGATATTGGCCGCCATTTTTTGCGTCCGAGAAGAGGAGTGTTAACGCGGATGCGGAGAAACAAAGAGATGCGTTGCGCTTGTCTTTCTTGGTTTCTGTGTGTGTGTTGTTTCTCTGTGCGGTGAGAAGTGAAGGATAGAAGGAGGTGAGAGAACGGGAGAGAAAGGGAGAGCGGTTTCGGGTTAGGCGGGATGTGAGGACGCCAACAGAAAAAAAAGGGCACCTTCATCGTCAGTATTTAATGACATTAAGTCAGAAGAGTTATGTTAGAATTCAAGAAGGAGTGAGAGTAAGAGAGAGGGTGAGAGAGATAGTTGTCAGGAAGTAAACATCCACGCTGGCGTTGATCTTGATTGCGGTAGGTTCGGGCGGGGTTGGTGCGGCGGGTTTGGGACGGCTTCGCTTCGCTCACAGGCGCAGCACGCCCGCCACTCCCAGCAGAATGCAAATGCGTTTTTGCCCCCACAAGTCTGCAAGGGTTAGCGGCTGCATTCAAGTGCTCTAAAGGGTTGTTGCTGCTTTGTAAATGCCCGGTCAGCAGTCGCATTGCTGCCAGATCAAAAATCTCGTGAGTGTATCCGCAGCTTCTCCTCCTCTCACCTTTTCACAGAACCGCAGATATGAGTCGCTTATGGCTTAGGGGATTCGCAAGTACGAAAGCAGGAAAAGGAGAGTTTTGCAAAACGCCGCTGTTCTCACACAGATGATGCTACGAGGCGTTGCTGCGGTACTGCGCTGCGAACTCCATCACACACGAAACAAAGGCGGTGTACTCTACCAGGGTCTCGTCCATTGAAGCTGAAGACGCCTCAAAAGACCTGGATGAACCTTGCAGATTGCGACCGCACCAGGTCACCACACGACGGCACAACTCTCGTGTGGCTCGGACGGAACGCACGCCGTGCCGCGCCAGCACACAGTTCACCGCCTCCGCACACATCTCGTAGCGGACACGGCTCTCTGTCCACGGTGCGGTATCTGCAAACGCGTCAGAGCTGCCCTTGAGAGTTTTTGAGCTCTGCCGGTGCCGGCGCAGCGACGCGTTCGACTCCTCCACGAGTAGCAGAAACATCAGGAGGAGGTCGCGGCCGTAAGGACGCACGGCCTGACACACGTCCAGCGCTAGCCCGAGCCGCAGTCGCTCCGTCTCCGCTGCCATCCGCTGCTCGCGAAGTCGCTCTTGCTGGAGCACGTAAGCAGCGGAAGAGAGCTGTTGAGGAGCTGTGTCCCCTTCTATTTCAGTGTCGTCGTCGGACTGAGCGCGAGATGTTGAGTGGCGCTGCGGGTCCGTCTGTCGAGCAAGCAGCTGGCGCACCGCTTCCCGTTGTTGACGTCGGTGCTGTAGCGGGTCATACCTGTTCTCGGAGGTGGGGGTAGCCGCCGTCTGCATTGCACCAAGCGTGTCATCAGTGGGATTCGAATGCATCGCGTTGTATGGTCCAGCATATGATGTGGTGTACTCGTAATCCGCACTCTCTCCCACAACCGCTTCCTCCACCGAATCGACCGTGTGATAAATGTCGACGACCTTCAAAGGCTCTTTTGTAGTGCGCACCGTGGCCGGGGCGGCGATTGGCTCCGCAGCTGGAGGCGGGTATTCCAGCTCACGTGAAGGCCAGGGGAGCCTGCGGTCATCGTGCCGCGCACTTCCATGCACCAGCGCCGGTGTCGGTCGCTGTAACGCGTACGGATTTGCCTGCCCCGCCTCCGGCTGATTTCTCGAATGGGGAGCTGCATACGAGGCGTACGCCTCACGTGGGGGTTGAACGATGGAGGACGCATCTGCGTGGGGTGCGTCGGTGGTGCGAAGGGTCCTACGCGATGCCGTCGGCGGATGAGCTAGACGCGGCTGTTGTGCAGCACGTGCGCAGGGACGAGAGGGGTGACTCTCTTCGTCCGCGCGCACAACTCCCGCAGACATGGGAAGCGACTCAACAGAGAAGCCGCACAAGACCACTGAATCCTCCTGGGTACTGTGCCCCATTGCTTCGGTGAGCACGCTGAAATCCACCAACTCCGGCGGTGCAAAAGCATCCGCTTCGGTGTCCGTCGACGAGGCCGACGAAGGAGACAAGCGATGCAACGAAGGAGGCAGATCGTGTTGTGGAGGCGTGGATGCGGCGTCGGCACCACTTGGAAGGTGGTCCACGAAGGAGACGCGCGGGCTTTTAGATCGCCCCGAGCGGCGACGGCAGTCCACCGCCCTCTCGGGGGTGTGCCGCATCAGATCCTTTCGGACACTCTTTTTGGCCGACCTGACGGGGCTCTCGCGAGAGGCGGAGGAAATGAGGTCTGACATCCCACTCGTCTCGCGGTACGCGCTGGTGTGCGGTCCCGCACTCACCGTCTCTTCATCCTCGTCGCCACCAACGCTGGCCTTCTCCTCAGCGGCGGAGGGAATCACGATGGTGCGCGTGGGGGTGTCGGCGTGCTCGGTGCACTGCAGCAATAGCGGCACCCCTCGCGGGGCACGCTCTCGCACCACGCGTTTCTGCCCCGTGGAGCCGTCCGTGACAACGGCTGTTGGGAGGGGGTGCAGACCGGGCACCAGCGCGCGCACAACCGTCTCCGCTGAGGTCGGCACGTCGGTCCATGAAACGGCAGCTGTAGGAGGTTTGTGCGGTGGGGTAGAGGCGACCACCGCCGTCTGCGTGTCGGCTGTAGACGCAGCTCGACGGTTTGCCTGGTGTCCCTGAAGTGGTGGTGGTGGTGGTGAGGGAAGCGGGGCCCGGCTGCCTTTGCTTGCTGGAGCGCCGCCTCCGTGTTGCGCCGTCGCAGTGGACGACAGCGCCTTCACCACGTCCACCGGCGCGTTCCTCGGCGAGTCGTGCGAGCCCCACACAAAACTGGGCTGATCAGGGAGATCCACCGAAGAAATAGGGTGGAAAGGTGGCGACGGGGCGGCGGTCCCCTCTCGCACCGCGGCGGGCGGGGCGCCAACATACGACCGCGGCGTGTTGCTGCGTGGTGCAGAAGGGGATGAGTCAGAGCCGCGCCGCGGAGAGTCGGAGAGCCCATGCGGTGCACGCAACAACAACCGCCCGAACTGGTCGTGGTCGACGTCAACGTCCAGCGGCGGTGACGACAGCGAACGCAGCGGATCCAGCCACGAGTTCGCACGGCCGTTGTGGTGAGCAGAGGAAGTAGTGAGGACCTTGCCTTGCTTCCATTGGACGGCAGCCTCCGGCGTCGGTGACGGCGAGGACCCCCTCCTCTTCTTCTGTTCCCCCAAGCTGGATGCGTACTCTGCATCATAAAAGGCGTCCCCGTCGTGCAGCTCCTCCTCCTCCACTTCTCTCTTCTCGCCATGCGGCAGTGGATCGGTGCCACCGTTGGTGCGCTTTGCAAGCGAACTCTTTTTAAGTGGCGGTGGCGGTGGCGGTGGCGGTGGGGTGAGAGGTGCTATGGCAATGGCTTTTGAGCGCGCTTCTGCCTCGTAATCGCTGAAGAAGGAAGCGTCCACGTCTTCCTTGGTCATGCGCCCGTCGGAGCCGTCGCCTTGGAATGGGCTTGCTTCGACGACGAGGTCAGGCGCGCCTTCTCCCTCCGAGATGTACGACTCCTCCGATGTAGCCGATCCGCTCTCCTCCCTCTCCTCTTCCTCGACATCGCCCGCGTAGTGGCCGCTACGGAGTTCGTACCGCCTGACCGTTGCAAGCAAAGCATCCGCCATTATTGACACGAGAAGAGTGTTCTCGCTCTTTTTCTAAAGAAATCTACTTGCTGCTTCCAAGGGAAAAAAAGGTGCAGCTTTTTTTTTTGAGAAAACGGAAGTCAAAAAGCAGAGAAAAAAATGTTATCTATGAAGCTGGTCAGGTGTGTGCGTTTGTGTGTGTGTGTGTAAAGAAACAACGAATGCAATGTGCACTGGTGATCGTGCTCTGTGTACGTTGTGTGCTGTGCTTGTGGCTCCGTAAGCACAGCTTTCCGGAAAAGACAATGCGTTGAGCAGGGCCAGCGCCGAGGGTCAGAAGCCGTACAGCGTGTTGGGGAGGTTGAGTCGCACAGCGTCGTGTTCTCGCAAAAAAAGCGCCAGCTATAAAGACAAGCGTCTGGACCGGCAAAAGAATTTGCGCGAAGAAATAGTCTTAACAAAAGACAACAAAAAAGTAACAGAGCACGGTGAGACAGGATTAGATTAAGTGGGATCGCTACAGAAGCGTCAGAATGTGCAGCCCGGTTGGTGTGGCGGCTGCACCAAGAAAGGAGGCATTGTGCATGGCACCCCACGGCAACAAACCGCACTGTGGTGGAGTTTGCTTGATGATCCGACGCCAAAATACAAGTCTTTTTTGCCTCAGGCGCGCGCGTTGTTAAACAAAAAATAGAGCTTCAGCTGCGGTGGAACGAAGCACCTCCGTTTTTATTTTTGTGGGATAGTTTTGGGGGGAGTAAAACGCCGATACTATACGGAGCGTAGTAGTAGTGGTACACAAGAAAGAGAATAAGTTTCAGGAAAAGCTAGACGTGAAGCCAAAGAAAAGAGAAAGAAGGAAAGATACTTCAACGGCGCGAAGGTTTGCTAGAGGCCGCCATGGCAGAGCGCACTTCGCGGGCACGGGTGGCTGCCACGCCATCACCAAGCGATGCGGCTCTGTCATACATTCGGAGCGCTTCCTGCGGCTGATCAAGCAAGGCCTCGAGCAGCACACCGTAGTTGTAGGCCGTCATGCGGTCCTGCGGGTCAAGCTGCAGCGATCGCGCGTACCACTGCGCCGCTGCGGCATAGTCCTTGTGGATCGCCTCGGCAATGTAAGCGTGCGCCTTTGTCCCCATCACGTCGTTCGTGCCGTGCGCGCGACACACAGAGTCCCACACGCGCTGCGCCCCCGCCACATCACCGCGACGCAGCAACGCCCAGCCCTGCGTTAGGGCCTCCTTTGCCGAAGGCAGTCCCTCCTTATCCTCGCTGTCGCTGACCTCCGCCGAAGTGCGCGGCGCCGGGTCCGGGCGGCGCAGAGACGCGACCTCGCTCTTCTGAAGGCTCGGAGCCTGCAGACGGGACGGAGTTTCACCCACTGAATTACCGGCAGTCGTCGCGCTCGCGTTTGCCGCCCCTCCCGCTAACGCGAGGTACTGCGAGTACAGGTCACCGCTGCTTGCGACACCTTTGCGTTGTGTGGATGACCCGCGCGGCGGGACCGGGCTGCGATGGAGCTGTCGCGACGCTCCTCGCAGCTCCCGCCGGCTCTCCGGATGTGTCGGCAGCCGGCTTTCGTTCAGTCCTGCAACGGTGCGCGCCGTCGCGGTAGCGGCAGGGCCCGGCGACGGACCTGAAGGACCGTCCAGCGGCAGGACACGCTCCAGCGGGGCGGCAGGGACGCGAGTCCGCACACGTTCCAGGAGCGCTTCCACCTCGTTCTCTTGCTGGATGTGCTGCAGTGCATTGACCGTTCCCACCGGCGTGCTCAGGTGCATGGCTGCCTCTAGTCGCGACGCGAGCTGCTCCGCCGTCTGTAGCGTCGCCTCCACCTCTGTGCGGTCGGCCCGTATGCGGGACAGCTGGGCCTCGTCCTCGAGCTGCACCTGCCACCGAATGCTCCGGATGCGCTCCTCGGTCTCCCTCTGCAGGCGGTCAATCTCCCGCTCGGCCTCGACGCGCCGCGGTGCCGTGGGCATGCTGCTCTCCTCACCACGAAGTTGGTTCGCGTAGGCCAGCAGGCTCTCTTTTAGCGCGTGCGTTGTCCGCTCGATCTCCGCCAAACCACCTCGCGCGAGAACAGCGGCGTCGTCAAGAGGGACAACCTCCTTCCCCTTGTAGGCCCCCAAGACAACGCACCGACTGCACGCAAAAGCGTGGCTGTCCATCACGTAATACTCCACCGCCTTGTCTGGATGCGCAGGGCATGGCTGCAGGTGTGGATCCACCACGCACTGCAGCAGCAAACGAGGAAAGACCTGTTGGCGTCTGTACACGGCCAGCGCAGGCCCTTTCGCCTCATCTTCGTATGCGCAGCTGTCGTATGAGGCGAGGAAGTCCGCCGACGGGTCTCGTGGGGTGTGCGCCGTGGAAGGGCAGGCGTAGGTGCTTCCCACCGCTACTTCGCAGATCAAGACGCCACACGTGATCTTGTCGGCGCACTGCCGAAAGGGCTCGCGAAAAAAGGCGATAGGGGACTCGGCTTGCGTGGCGTTGCTCTCTTTCGACGAGGACTGCTGGGTCGTGTGTGTGCCACCCGCAACGTCGACGGAGGCGTGAAAGCCGTAGCGTGCAACTTCCATGAGCTTCCGTGCGTCACCGACGAGCACGAGGCGTTCCGTCTTGGCCGTCTTTGCCTTCTCCTCAACATAGGTAGAGAAGCCGGTATACTGCTCCTTATGAAAGAGAGAGGTCAGTGAGAGGACCTGGATGTGCAGCGGCAGCAGATGCGTTAAGCTGGACGTCTCCTGCACTGCCGCACCGTAGTAGGCGTCATTGGGAGAAAGCGTCTCCACTCTCAACACGCTGTCAATGCGACGCTGCCACTCGTCTACTAAGTCCTGCACCTCACCGCCGCCGTCATCGTTAAACATGTGCAACGCACGCACCACGGCGGTGAACTCGTCTTGGTTCATAAAGAAAAGCTGGTACTCCCGCCACGGGGTCGACTCGCGGTGCCGGGTCTGCATCATTGAGCACATCTTGCGCCACAAGGACGCGCCGCGGCGAGTGGCAGCGCTGCTCCGCTCGTCACGACCAACGTCGCCGTCCGTCACCACAAGCTGATCCTGCGGTGTGATGATACGTATCTCCTTGCCCTGGCGAGTAGCGTTTCGTGGCGCTGCTTCTTTTGGCAGTTTCCCGTCGTCCCCATCGACTCTGAAACTTGGCGATTTGCTCAGCATCCGCGCGGTTTCTACCGGCGCCGCCGCTGCCGGCTTCGGCGTTGGTGACAAGGGAACCGACAGAAGCTGCTGACCGCCACCGGCGGGGGTAGGGGGGCTGCGCTGCGGCAAACCTGCATCGGAGTTGCGTGTCCGCCGCGTCGAGGTGCTCTGGTTCGGCGAGGCGTGCTGCGTGAGAAGTGGCCGGGCCGCCCACGAAGAAGCCTCAAGGCTCGTAGACGGGCCGGCATTAGTCAGTTGGGCCGACACAGGCGTATACCGAGGCGGGATAAATAAATAGGTGCGCGGGTCTGGCTCGGGACCGTAGCGCTCGGTAAGGGCGGCAAAGAGACCACTCACGTCCGGCGCATCGGCGTGCTCGGCAAGAATCGCCTGCACACCTGGGTGTTTGCGATCCAGTTGGTGCGCAGCGAGGTACGCGGTGAGTCGCTGGTGCGGCTCCACCGTCGACAGCTCCGGGCCGTTGTCCAGAATCAAGTTGCGCAGCAGCTCCTCCTCTCTGCCCTCCCATTGCCGAAGCAGCGACGGTATTTCCTTCCGGAACTGTGCGCCGTACACGTTGAAGAACGCGGTGAGTCGCTCATCGTAGTTGCGAATCTTGTACCGTCTATAAAGCTTCGTGAAGGTGTCTAGCTCTGTCACGACCTCGACCACATTCGGGACAAGACGTAGCCCTTGAGGGTTGTAGACGCGCAAAAAGTTTTCGAGTCGGTGACGGTACCCAGTTTTGTCGCCGGGGTCCACGGCAAACGACACGCCCACCTGACCCATCTCGGTCCCCACCACGCGGGTGGTGAGCTTGTCCACTTCGACGATGTCCTTCACGTTGAGCGCGACCGGGGCCGAGCTCCCGACGATGCGGGTGCCATCCGCGGTGAACGTGCCATCGTCCTCGCGCGCACGTGGTCGGTACGGCGCTGTAAACCCGCCAACAATCTCCTTCACCATCACCACCGCCTCCATCTGCGGCAATGCGCATCGCCACACCTTGGGACCGCCCCCGTTCCCGCTGGTGTTCCCGGCCACCTCGTCCAGACGCACCTCGAAAAGGTTCGGTGTAGTGCAGGCCACGTCGTCGGTGGTGAAGATGGCCGCTGCTACGGGAGCGGAGTAGGCGGATGCGCGGTGCAGCATGTGCGCCTCCACTGCGAAGGTGCGCGGACCATTTTCACAGGCGGAGAGCGGGATGTTGACCAAATTGTGAAGGGTTACCAGCACCGACCAGGAAGCCATGACGCCGTAACGGTTGTAAGATCTAAGAGGTGGGTAAAAGTACTGAAGCAGAACACCAAGAAAACACCGTCAGAAAACAAGACACGGAGGAAAATCTAAATTCTAAAGCTCACTTCAAAAGAGGAAGAAAAAAGAGCAACCGTCTAACGAGCAGGGCGATATCGGAATGTACACCTTTATGGCCCTTTCAATGAGTTTGATGGAGATTGAAAAGGGACGCGTTTGATAACCACAAACAAAAAAAGGGTATGCATACAGAAAAGAGGGCACAGATTAAGTTGCGGCCTCTCTTCAATCCAACGCGGGGAGACGTCCTTTCTAAAAGAGGCAGGCGGTGCAACGCACCTTCAAAATGAGAACACAGCTGAGAGTATTGCGCTGTGCTCTAGGAAAAAGGGAGGCCACACCTGTGTGCGTGTGTGCGCTGGTGTTGATGCACACTCGCAGTGCGTGTGGGTGCACAGCTTGAAGAGGAAAGAAGAAGGAAAAATCCAGCATACAATTTACAAGTTCAACCGGAAGGAATAGGAAAACAATATATAAGCCGAGATGGCGTTGGGGCCGGTCATCAGCCAAATGAGGAAAACAAGAGCGAAAGGCAAAAGAAGGAAAAAAGTTTTCGAGAGGAGTAAAGGGAGCGGTGAACGCGAAAGTTGATCCGCAGATGTGTGCAGAATACCAGATTTTCTTTTCCCATCAGTAATGATATGAAGCTGAAAACTAAGTGAAAAGACATTCCTTTTCGAATCAAGGCCGAAAAGAAAGAAAAAACGATCGACGAGGGCAAAGAGAGAATATGATTCAATTTCTTGTACTTGGATTTCGTGGCGGCTACTGGAAGAGTATATGTGATGAGCAAATCCGCTAAAGTTGCAGAAACCACAAAGAACGCTGAGAGCCCACATCATGCACACTCCAGATGGAGAGAGAAAAACATGAAACAAGAAAACAGAAGAAAGCACACGGAGTAGATCTTTACTTTGTAACAACTCCGCTTTCTTACGAATCTTAACGTTTCCGCTCCTCTTGGTAGATGTTCCGGCCACTCGCCTTGCCGTGGCTTCCCGTCTTGGCGCCAGACGTTGTGCTCTCCCGGGCGTCCCGCTCCTTTGTGCGGAACATCTCGTCCACCTTCTTCTGATCCAGCTCCGAATCGGTCGGAACCCAGAAGAAGGGCTCTTTCTCCGCCTTCATCTTGCGGAAATTCGGCTCCCAGTTGAAGGAGTTCAGCTTGACGTGGTAATCGATGCGCTCCCGCTCCCAGTTGTCCCACTTCAGAAACACCTTTTGCTGATCATCGTGATCCATCGCGCCGGTAGTGGTGAGGTTGTGCATGTGCGTCATGACATCCATGTCATTGAGCATTTTGCCAGGGCCCTCAAGGTCTAGCTGAGCACACAAAAACGCAATCTCCTCGCAGATGTTCTCCGTGTCGTCCCAGAAGTGGTGCCCGCCGCTCCTCCGCACACGCAGGACTAAAGGCCGCGCCACCGGGTCGACGTCTTTTCGCGCCCGCTGCTGCCGCAGCTTCGCGACGTACTTGAGCGCATTCCACGCCGGCACTCGGTCGTCGTCCAGGCACGCAGAAATCATCATCCCCGGGTACGTGACACGGTCGTTGATGTTGTAGTAAGGGTCATACTGCTTTAGTAGGTCTAGATCAGGCTTGTTGTTCAGCGGGTCCCCCCAGTCATCGCGCTCGGCAAGCGAGAGTGGGAGCTCGGGGTCCAACATGGTGTTGATGACGTCGAGAAAAGGTGACCGCAGCAGCACGTTGCCGAAAAGCCCGCAGCCTCGCATGTTCATGGCCGCCGCGATCGGGACACAACCCGCGCTCGTACCCCCCGCTACCATCAACTCGGGCTTGGTGTATCCCGCGTCAACCATGTGCTCGCAGCACGCAACGAAATCCTGAATCGACTTGAGCTTGTTCTTCCCCTTGCCCATCTCCGCCCAGTTCGGCAGCTCGCCACCACCGCGGACGTGCGCAAACGCAACGGTCCACCGCCGTCGCAGCATCCACATGTACGGTGCCAGCTGAAAATGCATCGATGGAACTTCGCCATACGACCCGTAAACGTAGATGAGGCAGTGTTTTGGAGTGTTGGGCTGCGCCTCAAAGTCGGTCGCCTCCTGCACAAAGGCATCGCGACGCTGGCAGATGGTGATCGGAATCTCCGTCCCGTCCTCGGACACGCAGACGTCCCGATACATGCTGTACGGCCACATGTAGTCCCACGGAGTGAACTGCTCCGCCTGCCGCTGCGTAAAGAGCGCCTCCGGCGCGCACAGTTTCGCCTGCTCTGCGGTGATGCTCGAGCTGAAGTTGAAAACGCAGTCGCGTGGCGGCTGGATCAGGCTGCTGTAGACGAAATTCATCGACTCTTGCGCAAAATTCTTGTTGAGGCCTGGCGTGACAGATGACAACGGCGGGAAGTGCAGAACCACGTCGTTACTCCGCGGTGACTGCGCAGCTGCGTCAAGTCCGTCGTCACATTTGATCACGCGAACTTGCTGAATGCGCTCAAATTCGCAATGAGACTCAAAGAGGATGATGCGATCATTGAAGAGGTCCACATCTGTGATCTGCACATCGTCGCGATGTGGCACCAACTCCTTCCATTCTGCCTCTTTGCCGTACGCAAGCGCTACCTCGTCACGGATGTACACAACACGAAAGTTGGGTCCTTTGTTAGATGTCACCATGACGAAGTGGCCACGGTAGTGTTCCAGCCAGTTCCATCCCGTTTTTCCGACAATCTCAATCGGCTTGCCGTCTTTAAAGAAGGACTTGAGAGGAGTGGGAATAATAGGGTAGGATGCCGGCATAACTAACGCGTTCCCCTTGACCTTGGAGTCAGATGTGATGGTGAGAAACTTGTTGTCCTTCGTCTTTCGAACATCAACAAAAAACTGCTCGTCGTCGTCACGGTAAATCTCAACTGGCGGCTCCAGAATGCCGGGCCGTATCTCCTGCATCATGACACGATGCGGGCGATTCAGCTCATTCGACTCCGTGTAGAAAAACTGATTACCGGACCCGAATTCGATGCTCACGATATTGTTGCCGCGGATTACGTGGAACAGACTAGCGTTGTCGATGCTGCGAATGTGACACAAAAAGCGATCGCCTCCCTCGACCGAAAGCGTGTACGCAAGATACTTGCCGTCCTCGGAAACGCGGCAAACACCAACAGAGCAGTCCTTGTACCCGAAATGTTGCTGCAGAAAGACAGGGTTGATGAGCTCCTCGGCAAGTAGATCAACCTCACCAAAACGTTTGCGATAAAATCCGACGGCGTCAGGGTCGTGTCCTGGGACAACACGCGTAAAGTACACGTAATCATCGATTCGCTCCTCTCCTTTATCGTAGCCGCCATCACGGCTACTGACCACGACCTTGGCGTCCAGTTCGGCCCATAAACGACCTTTTGAATGTTTAAAATCAAACTTACTGTCAATCAGAGCGAAATGCTGCATTTCCTTTTTGATGTACTGTTGCGTGTCACGGTCAAAGAGGTCCTCCATGTAGCAAAACGGGTCCGGTTTCTGCAATTCGCCATGCAGCACTGTTGTCTCGGGTTTTGCGGCTGGCAACGGGCCATCCAACATGGGGAGAGGATACAAATTCCGCAGCTGAGGGTACCATTTGTTGACAGCTTGACGGGAAAAACGGTACCCCAGATTGGACGTCGGCACCCACGGAAACAACGCCGTCATTTTCCGTTACCGCCCGCTACAAATCACGGCTTTCTAGTCGCAGCTTGGGTCTAAAACAACGGCAGAAAGCATATATATCTTTTTACAGCGTCGCTTCCAGACAAATACAATCACCGTGTTGTGCCACTGATACTTTGCTTGAAGCGAAGGGTCCAGGGGAGAAATGAAAGAAATCGAGAGAGCAAAAGAATCCAACAGTGAAACAACGATATCTGTTCGTTCAGGCCAGGAAGCGGCTTTCTACGACTGAAATTGAATTAAAAGTCAGACCTTTTTTGGAAGAATCATTCTTGGCAGAAAGAGTCGTCTTAAAAAAAAACTCTTTATCCTTACCTGTCTATGAACTCTTTCGTGACAAAAAAGAGGTCGCGGTTAATTGATTCTCGAAAAATGAGCTCAACACCATAGACACTCTTTGTTATTTTAATATTTTCTCCTGGCAATTAATCTCTTTTAGGTTTTCAGATGACTACGACAAAGCGATAATAGTTATAGAAAAAACTTTTCTTTTTTTTTAGCTGTTTTCTCCGTCAACATGTATAGTGTACGTGACATAATTCTGTTTGAATGCAAGCGCAGTTGTAGTCTTTCTTTCTTTCTTTTTTTACAAAGAAAGTACTTAGAAAAAGAAGTTAACTTTTGTTTTGTCGCCGCTGACCAAAGAGAGAAAAACTGAGAAGCACAACTGATGAAAAAGAAAAAAGACTTTCTTTAACGCCGTCTTCCCTGATAGCTATTCAGTAAGAAAACACAGTTTTTTATTAAAAACGCGTGTTGCCATGAATAAGGAACAAGAATTAAAGATGCGTCAATGATCTACTTTTAAACCGTACATCAGCCGGAAACGAAAGTATCAGCGATGAGAGAAAGAAGCGTCGACGCGCCGGCATTACTTGTCCTTGTGAGCCTGGATATTGATCTTCTGCTGAGATCCAGACGAAATACCTGCCATCGAAGAGTGGTCCTGATTGTTGAACTTGGGGAGCCAATTCTTCTTGAACCAGTCAATTGTGTCCGCCCAGCCTTCCACAAAAGGAATAATGGGCTGGAACTCTAGATCATGCTCTGCCGCGTCAATACGGAACCAACGGTTCATGGTCAGCACGAAAACATTGAAAACATTCAGCTTGAATGTTGTCTTCATGATGAAGCCCGCCAACTCTGCGACGAGTGCTGCCATGTACAGAAACCAGAATGGATAATGCACTCTGTTCATAATAGAACCGAACCCCATCGCCACAACGGCTTTATCCAGCTCCTTCCAGAATACGCAGTACGCAGCAGGTTCTGGGTGTGTATCGCCGTCCGTGACAATGTAAAACCGACCCAGGTATGGTGAATCCTTGGACAACTGCTTCTCGGCGATGATGAGACCGTGGCAGTAGTTGTCCACGTGTGTGAAACAAATGCGGTTGTCACCTTTGCCAAAAACACGCAGCTTGCCGGTGCCCGCAGCCTCCAGCATGTTAGGCAAGAATAGGTTATCACGCGGCCCGTACACCTGATGAGGGGCAACCGCTATGGACCAGAAGTTCTCGTCCACAGCCTCGCGCATCGCCATTTCGCCCTCGGCCTTCGTTTGGGCGTACATCTGCATGTAGTGCTCTAACGGGAGCTTCGGCATCTCATCCTCGGTGAGGCCATCCACGTTCGGACTGTGAAAAAGGCTTCCCTTGAAGCGGGTCGATGGCGACGAGCTGAAAATCATCTTCTTCACCCCGTGCTCCTTGCATGCGCGAATAACGTTCACTGTACCTCCGTGGTTTACTCGGCGATACAGGTCATGAGGATGAAACGGACCCACAGCAGCAGCAAGATGCCACACGCAGTCACTTCCCTTAATGGCCCTGGAGACGTCTTCGTACGAGGCAATATCGCCGACCATGTACTCAATGGCCGGATGATCCCAGACACCGATGGCCTTCTCTTTGGGAACAATGTCAAAGCAAACCACCTTCTCGGCACCGCGTTCCACCAGCATTTCCACCAAGCGCGTTCCCACGAATCCGGTACCACCAGTGACGACGCACTTCTTTGGCACCGGCAGGTAGCTCCGGCTTGCAGCCTTCTTTTGCTCGGGTGAGAGCAGAGGATTGAGCTGCTTGGGTGGCATCTTTGTTTTTGAGGGCGGGAAACAATTCGATACGTTAAAATTGCAAGCAGCGGCTTTTCAAATCTCACGGAGAAAAAATAATTATACAGATGAAACTTCTGGATCGGACAGGAAAAAAAAAAATAAGGCTTTGACTGAACTCTGTAGGAAAAGTGCTTTTCTTCAGTAGATCGTTGTTGGTGTCATCGTTCGTGTTGTTTTGGGGAAAGAACAAGAGATTTAAAAAGATTGGAGTATTTAAAATATATATATGTATCATTTTCAGGAAAAGGTAATCGGGTATGGTTCTGGACAACATAGAGAGAGAGAAGTACTCACTTTTCTATTTTTCCTAGCCAGGAGTAGTGAAATACTTCGATCTCAGACTAAAAGACGATTAATTAGGTAACTTGAACTTTTGCCTTCATGCAGATGCTTTACGATCATAGCATCTTTTTTGTCTTACAAAACACTTTCAGTCATCAGCTTTCCTTTTTGCAGTCTTTTGAGCAGTTTTTCTTCCATCCGGTGTTCAGTTGCATCAACGCTATCAGGAAAACTACTGTCAACGCACCCTCTCCAGTCTCAATAACGCAAAGTGCCAGCACATCCCGAATATATCGTTTACTCTTTCTTCCATTTACTGCACAGACGCTCTAAAGCGACTTGCGACCCAGAGCTCTTCTTTTCCATGACGTGAGAAAGACCAGCATTGACAGGAATAAAGCATGGTCCGTCCAAATCGTTCTCTCTCCGTCCTCGTTTTCGATTAAACAGTAAGTCGCGACGCCGTGCTTGTAGTTTTTTTCTTGATGTCAAGCACTCTATCGACGGCAAGAAAAGGAGATCGCGACAGAGATATGCAAGTTGATCAAAATCGCGACACGTCGAACTAAATCCCAATAAATCGATTTCATTGGGTATAGTCTCGTTAAGCTGTTCTTTTACATGTTCAGCCGTTTTTTCTACCAAAGAAGAATTAATCTCAGTTATATAATGTTGTACACTGGTGTTTGTTAATGTATCTGCCTGGCTCGAAAAAGTTTTGTATCCCTTACCACATAATAGTTGAACAATTCGGGGATCGATGAGTGGAACTGTGTCCACCGACGCTGACGGAGAGCGTGGGTTAAGTGAAACACACAAAGCGCTAATATCCGTTAGCGGAGAAAGGATTTTTGAATAGGACATCTTCTGTCTGCCAAACCTCACAGTTTGAGACGACCAACGCGATGAACGCAGAAATGTAACTAGCTCTTTGAACTCCACAAGATTAAGGTACTCTCCTACAAATAAAGAGCTCCACAACGACATAAGGAAATAAACACCGGAATTCCACGCGTTGCTCGAGTCGCACAAACAAATACAAATCCCATTACTCTGTGATGAAGACTGCAGATTCGATGCATCAACGAGTGTGCACTTCGGCAGTATTGCGGTGACAAAACCTCGGATTAATGCAGAAACAGTGGATGTTTCTTTCCCATCACGGAAGCTTCCCAATCGGGCAATTTTCGTAATTGCCTGTACGGTAGTAACGTAATCTCGGTGGGCATCATTCTCTGGAATTGCGGGCATGGAAGTCTCAAGCGGAATATGCACATACAACGGCACTGCCGTTTGCGCATTATTTCCGCAACAATTTAATTGCTGGAACATGTAGCGGCGATCTTTCGACTTTGGATACATTGCTGTCAGCGCTTGAACCGCAAAAGCTTTCTTGGATGCTTCTAATGGGTTGCAAATGCTCGTGTACTCGTTTAAAAGCTCCCACAAGGACATGCACGATACTGTTGCAAGTGCAGAACCGTCTACATTATGAAGGGGAAGTTCATACCACGTACGCTCAAGAAACACGCGATAAGTGTTGCCAACAAAACTATCACTGTTTTGTTCCTGGACTTCTGCTGAAGAAGCCAAGAAGTCATCTGTGCTGTTGATGCACAACTTCACCTGGCTTTGGAGTTCCGCCATACCTTCGAGTAGATTGCTGAACTGTAGCGCTTTTGCTAAAGCTGCACTTTTAATGAAAGCAACAGAGGGGGGAAAAAGGTCAGAGAGCTGGTGAATTAATAATCATTAGCACGCTTCAGGATGACGTACAGAATTGCCAAAAGAAATAAACTAGTCTTTAAGTAAACGGTCAATTAATACTGCTGAATCAGCAGCTTCCATTTTCAATGGCAGCAGCCGATGAGTATAACTTGACTAAAAATAACGATTTCATGTTTCCCTCTTCATCAGCAAAAGTGGACCTGAGACAAAACCACACCTTGACGCAAGCAAAAGCGCTACTGGAATTATCGCAATTAGGGGAACGAGATTTGGTTTCCATCCCATACGGTTTGAATTTCGTGCAAGCCGTCCAATTATACAACGAAAAGAAACGCAACTAGTTCTGAACGAAACACTGGCCACCAACTCAACCGATACCTAGCCTGGTCAAAGCATCCAACAACACTTTGCGCTTGGCAGGAAGGTCGGCGATCTGAGAGCTTTTCATGTGAGTCTCCCTCACTCCCTTCGCTCCTCCATCCTTTTTCCTTCTTTGTTACCACCTGGGGCAGTGGAATACAATTTTTGAGCTTTTACCTTTTCCCCATCTCCCGTGCAGATCTCGCACCCCACCCCACACTTTCATCAGCCGCTTTTACATTTTCAGCGGAAGCCCACATTTCTGACTCCAGCCAAAAAATTCAAAGACGCCGCAAAAAGAAAAAAAACAGGTAGACCGTTAAAGCAGCATCAAGTTTCAACACTTAGTGGTCGTCGTTGACAAGACCCGCTGCCGTGACGCCAACTGCCGCAAAGATCAGAGCCCACCCCCCCCCCCTCCCCGCACCCCCGGTGCACCAGCGCAACGTATGTGCCTTGACTGGCAAAGTTTTCCCTCGACGGCACACCGGTTCGGCACAGCGGTCCCAAGACCCGACCGGACCACTCAAGGATCTCCCCCAGAGGGAGGCAAAAAATAACGACGCACAAATCACGAGCTAGCCTTTCCCACCACAAAAGATCTGCCAGGCCCGCCATCGGTCAGACCCATCAAAACCGAAGATAAGACGCGTGTGGATATTTAAAAAGCATTTTCACTCTTTCTTTGTTTTCATTGCTACAAATCCACAAAGCATTAAACACAGACACATTTCCTATCAAACGTTTCCTGCAAAGAATCCACGCTTGAAGAAGCTTGAAAAGCTTCGCGCAGACAGAGAGAAGCACAGTGACGTGAAGAAAGGTACTGCAACGCTTGCGGAAAGTACGGGCACTCGAGGTCTGTGTATCGCAGACTTCAAAAAGGTGGTTAAAGGCTGTCGACGAGCACGGAAAAGTGAATGAAACACCCACAAGGGTTCCCGCGGTTTCAGATGGAGCTCATGAACACGATCGAAAGCGCGCAGCAGTATCAGCATCCAGAAGAAAGTCGCTTAAAAACGACACCCGTAGTGGCCATGATTTACGCGGGAGCCACCCTGAGAGTGTGACAAAACTGCAGACATCTGAGCCAGCCTGGTGCACAGCGCTACAGCAACCAGAGAAGCACGCCAAGAAGACCGACGTCGACAGAATCTCGTCAAAGAGAACAGACTACCGATCTGGAAACGTAATAGCGCAACTGAAGGACAGCGACAACACAAACAAAACCGACGCATTGACAACAGGACCAGTACTGAAACTTCTGAAAATCCAAATAAACCGTTTCACTGCTGAAAAAAACGCCAACGGCAACTCCGCAAGGACAGCCGCGGCACAACACAAACCAGACCAGCTTTATCAGTTTGTAGACAAATTCTACCGTCTCTGCCGGACAGTGACGTGCAAAAGAAGGCGTTGCTGGTCACAGTGGCTCTGTCAGTCGAGGTGCATGGAAACGGATGAAAAGTTGCCGTCACAGAAGAAGACTTCACACATCCGTTGTACGACGGAAGTTGTACCTCTCAACGCGCAGCAAATTGGTTGATGCCCTTGACCGGAAGGTCTGTCAGCGTGTGTGTGGTTCATCTCCTTGGCCTCCTTGCAGAAGATTGCTTTGCACACTGTCGAAGCCCACAACAATCGTCGGTTTCCAACGCCAGGAATTGGGAATTTCAACACAAGTACACCACAAGCTCTCCAGCACCTTCCGAGGACGACATAAACAAACTTCATATGATCAAAATAATACGACAAGTTCGCAACATGAACTCCAACGCAGCAGTGTGTCGAGGCGAGAGGCAGCCTTCTGCCGACAGCATGACGCCATTTACGGTCACGGGGACCAAGCACAACGCTGTCCAAAGGCGCCTTAGCACGTGGCCGAGACAGAGAGAGGGAGCAAAAGCGCAACCGAAGTAGGTTATAGCGTGTCGCGGACTTATTTCAGGTAGAGTTACTGGTATGAGAAAGAGATAGATTCGAAACAGATGTCACCTTGGTAAAGAAGAATCTGAGTGATGCCAAGAGTGGCGGGGCCAAAGGCAATGCGGTAGCGGGTGCATGCGTGTCAGTGCTTTACTTTACACCCCTTTTTTCTTCCCCCTCCTTTCCTCTTCACTACGACGTGTAAAGTCGAAGCTCTCTCCCGCTCGCCCCAACGACCTTAAGCTTTTTGTTTGAGGACCGCCGGCAAGTAGAACACCACGTCAGTGCAGGAGGTAAGTGACCCTGCCAGTTCTTCAAAGACGTGGTTGTTTGCTTTATTTAACTTCAGTGGAGTTTTCTTCGACCTGTTGTCCCCGGTAGAGTGACTCCCTCTCGCCAACGTGGGAGACGCGGTAGGGTCCTTGGCCAAAAGTATACTACAAAGGATAAATGAGTCTCACGGGAGCGTCAGCGACGTGCGACGCGATTTATGCGCGTAATGTGGAATGAAAGCTGGAGAACACAGGCGACTAGCGTGTGTGGCAGCTACTCTTCACGTTCTTACTTCCCCTCCTCCCATCACCTTCCTTTCAGTTAGGCGACAACGACCATTCAGAAAGCACAAGGCTACCGCCCAGACGAGCCACTCCTACTCGTTGCGATACATCTCAACGCAGTGAGCGCCGAGATGGGCAGCGTACACGACCTGAGGGCTAGTTTCTTCCAGGTCGAGCTCCCAGAAAGAGATCAAGAAAGCTCCGTCTTCACAGATCCGAATAGCGGTACACAGCGGTACTTGACGCGGCCTCCGATGGGACACTTGGCCTCACCGGAAATCGTGCAAATCCTCACGTCCACCGTGGCAGGCCGTCCGACGTAAGCAGGCAAAAGGATCACCGTGAACAGCCAGCCCTGACCTCAATCGACGTTTGCATCAACAACATACGGTACGCAGACACGCGTCAAGCAATTCAAAAGGCGTCCAGGAGGATGTTGACCGCCGCAAAAGAGTGTCCAGTCTCTCTTAACACGAATGAGAGTTACACGGGAGAAGTCACTGACTTCATGAGGGGTATATTTCAACCACGCAACTCTCAAAGTGGGCGTGGCAGATCACACGATCCAGATGTTTGGTGGTCCGACGCCAAGCATGACGTGCGGTGACTTGGAGCGATTATACGCACAACTCCTCCGCAGCTCGTCATTCCTACATATCCGCATCGCAGAGTTCTATTGGGTGTTGAAGCTCCTTAGGCGAAGGCTGTCTCAGCTCAACGGGACACTTTTTCTGGTGAAGGAGCCGGCCTGCACACGCCCAACGGGGCATGCACAACTTAAATAGTGGTACGACCTGGCTCAGAAGAACCGTCCACGAGCGATAGCGCCGGTCATGGCAACGAGAACACCAACAATGTCCCTCTACACCGCCGTTTCCGGAGGCGTTTGCGGAGTGTTGTTGATGCGGGACGAGCCCCAAGAAATCATGAACGTTCGTGAAGCACAGTCCGCCTAGTATAGCTTTTCCAGTGGAATACGTTCCTTCCAAAGAAGGCATCATGCTTCGTTTTCAACGCAAAAGTGAGTCCTTTGATGGAGAGATCGAAGTGGATCATCCGTTTCGATTGATTAGAGTCTTCCGTTCCGAGGCGCAAAGATTGCGTTTGTGGACCGTTGAGGTGCTTGGTGTGCGTGTGTGTGTGTGTGTGGGTGGGGGGAAGGAGGACTGGCTTCGGGTGTTCGGGCGCGGGGTAGGTAGAGTGAAAGAGGAAAGGAAAAGTGTTTCGCGTTTGAGGCGGCGGCGAGTGTTGGGCTGCAAATTAAGGGTGAAGAAAATGGAGTACTCACTAACTACTGGTGCTGTTTAGATGGAGTCGGTATGGTGCGCTACGGCACCTGCTTAAAATGAATCTCAGGCGCAGCAGGCGGTTGCGTAACTAGCGTTAAGAGAGAAAGGGTGTGGTGTTGATTGCTGTGGGTGCTGAGTGGAGCCCCTACTGAGCAAGATGCGCTAAAAGACCTTCCTGAGCAGGGAAATTGTGGTTTTACAGTGTGACTCGTAAAGCGCGAGTAATGCTTTTCATGTATGAGCAGCTGTTTGCGCAGGTCGGTGCTGTGCTTTATATGGGCGAAAGCAAGAGGTAAGGAATATTGCACTTGATGAACTGTTGGTCACAGCGAGAGTTGTAACGGTGTCTCGAGAGGACGAAGAAACAACAGCAGGTATTAGTGTAGTAGCGAATAAAACCAAGCCGAGCTGTTGGTGCTTGTTGACGAAGACTTTAGACCCTGTTAAATAATGATACCAGTTTGAGTTTGAGTCAGGATTAAAAAGATTGAAAACTTGTTGTAACTAATGAGGAACATCGATTCGAGGAAAGCGTTGTTCTTCCGTCCTCTTTTATTATCTGCTGTTCAGAGCTTATTATTGCGTGTTATGTGATTTCCAAAAGCAACAAGTATTATCTCGCCCAATGAGTTTTATACGATGGACTGCAACAAAATACATAGCTTTCTCTAATATATATATGTATATATATATATATATATGTTCCCTATTATCTTTTTTTCTTTTTTTTTGTTGTGCACATCTGCAACTCTCCATAGAGTTAATCAGCTTCCTCGCCTAATAACGCGGTCTTAATATCTTTGCATTAAAAGAAAAAGCTTGCCACAATGTCGTCTTCAAATAAACAGACTGTGCGTGTAACGTACATTTGGCTGGCTGGCAAAGATGCGCACCACGATATTCGCAGCAAGGATCGTACTATGTATCTCCCTCAGGATGATATGAAAAAGAATCCGAAAGAATTGCTCGCTGACGGAGTTTTTCCTGTGTGGAACTTTGACGGTTCTTCGACTGGTCAGGCGAAAGGGTTGGATACTGAAATTCTGCTGAAGCCCGTCAACGCGTTCCCGTGCTGCCTGCCGCGCACAGCATCGAAGATTCCGTGGATTCTGGTGCTTGCGGAGTGCTATCTTCCTAGCGGTGAGCCGTCGGCCGATAATTCTCGTGCGACTGCTCGTGAAGCGTTTGAGCAATGCCCAGAGGAGCACCCTTGGTTTGGTCTTGAGCAAGAGTACTTCATCGTCACGCGCAACGGTCGTCCGTTTGGCTGGCCGGAGTACGGTTTTCCCGCGCCGCAAGGTCCCTACTACTGCAGCACCGGCAGCTGTGTCGCTTACGGACGCAATTATTGCGATCAACACTATGAGGTTTGTCTCGAGATGGGACTGAACGTTTCCGGTACGAACGGGGAAGTCACTCCTGGACAGTGGGAGTTCCAGGTGGGTCCCTGCGAAGGCCTGGAGATGGGCGATCAGCTGACTGTTGCTCGCTGGGTTCTCCTCCGTCTCCTGGAAAATGAAGGCTTGGATGTTGATTATCGTGCGAAACCCATTCACGGGGACTGGAACGGTAGCGGTCTGCACACTAACTTTTCTACCGAGTCGACGCGCGCTGAGAACGGTCTTGATGTCATTTACCAATACATCGAGCGCCTTCGCAAGACAGTTAGGCAGGACATTGTTTTTTACGGGGCTGAGAACAACCAACGCTTGACCGGAAAGCACGAGACCTCCAAAGCTAACGAGTTCAGTTCTGGCGTTGGAACTCGCGGCACATCTATTCGTATCCCGAATGCGGTTGCAAGTGAGCGCAAAGGCTACATGGAGGACCGGCGTCCCGCCGGTGACGCCGATCCGTACTTGGTGACCTCTCGGCTTTTTGCGTCGTGCATGGGTCTCGAAGCTCCGTCTCTTGATGTGGCTTCGCCAACTCACGAGAAGGAGTGGATGCGCCGCGCGTTTGAATGAACATATATTAAATTATAAACGAAGGAATTTTGTTTTGTTGATCCCTGCTGTTCTTTGTATGTGACTTTTCCCTGCGATTGAGCGTTTCAATTCGTCTGCTTGATTCTTTGTTGTTGCCTCTAATGACAAACCGCATTATTTGCAAATGGCTAAAGTCGTATGCAAGAGAAGAGTGAAATCAACTGATAAAACCGTACGACCCACTATTATTTTTACCTGCTGTGTAAGCAGTACCGAGGGTAACCGCTGTTGTTCGGTCATGGAGAGAAGAAATCTTTTAAAGTTATTATTAGAAAAGAGAAGCAGAAAAAGAGGACTTACCTTCTGTTGGGTCTACTACTTCCTCTTTTAAGTGTGTTTCTCCTCTAACCATTGAGTCTTTTCAGTCAACTATTTGACGTATCTGTGATACTTTGTAGAGCATGTACACCCTCGTTTTCATCTTCTGCACAAAGCGAGCAGTCAAACAGAAATAGAAAAGATATTCTTTGTTAAATAATACGCACTTTAGGTCTTGAGCTTTTTATTACTATTGTAATAAACGAAGTCCCGTCGATAGTGGCTTTCTTAATATCGCTTCGGCGTCAAAAGTAAAAAAGGTCTGTAACGTTGAAGTAGAGAAAACGGAAGGAAAACAAAAGAAAAAGTTTCTTTATGTTTCTTTCTTGTTGGAAGCGCACAAGTTTCGGTATTAGTTATTTTTGTTTACACTTTTTTTTGATGAAAAGAGATTCCTCCTTTTAAAAAGTCAGTGGTTTTGACTGACGCTTTCATCGTTTAAATGATTCAGAAAGCTCTTCCTTTTCGTTTTACTGATGTATCCCGAACTAAATGCTTGTGTTTCTCTCTTTCTTCGTTTTCTTCGTCTCTTCGTTATCAACATTATCTTTTTTCCCTCTTCCTCTGTTTCTCTCCCTAATTTCGCATGTGCTTCGCTTTTTCTTTTTTTAATCCACATCAAGAATTCCTACACCTAGATCATGTCTTGCCAAAAACAAAAACATGGAGATAAAAGTCAGAAGCGATGGCGGAAAAAGAAGAGTTTGTATGATGCGTACCTCGCCGATTCCGGCAACAGCGGTGACTCGTCTGGCGATGAAAACGAGGACTCAACTTTCGAGCGTGAGGAGTACAACGTTGGAATGGATGTAAATATTTTGATTCAGCAGACTGTCCAAAATATTGTACAGAGCGTCTGTCTGGAGGATTCGGAAGGATTTGGTACCTTTGGTGATCAGGAACTTATTTGCTTTGCTGCAGCAATAAAGCATAACAGTTCAATCTTGTCATTGCAAATCCGTTATTTAGACGTATCGGACATTTCGCTGGTCCCGCTCTGCAAGGCTCTGGAGCACCACAGTCACATTCGCGCGATTGATCTTTCCGGAACGCGCGGCGGAGAAGGCACGAGCAAAGCGCTGAGGCGGTTGGTTTGCACCAATCCGCAAATTATCTTCCTTCGGCTCGAAGACACTATTATCAATCCGAAGGACTCGCTCGTAATCGAAAAGGCGCTGCAGTACAACGCAATGGCAAGCTCTGATCCCAATAACAACCCGTTTCACCTGGGGCTGTTGCGGAGAATTGGCGCGATGGAAGAGAAAGAGCACAAGTTTCAAGAGGAAATGCAAGCGCGACCGTGGCTGTTTGGGGATAGCGGAACGTCAAAAAAGGATGGAAACCAGAAGAAAGCAAAAAAAGTGACACTTAGCACTGCTGCGTCTTCACACATTGGGGGAGAGATCTGCGCGCAGTTCATTCAAGGCAAGTGCTTGTACGGTTCCCGCTGCAAATACATTCATCCCGAACGCACCATTGCGTTGAAAAATGTTGTGACGTCAAACTTTCATAATCAGGCTGAGCACGGCGAAGGAGGCGATGTTGTCTCGACTGCGTTTTCTACTGCAACATCCTCTCGTCAACGTCTCCAGAGTCGTCTTCGCCCACCGCACTTTGCCTTGAAGAAGGCTAAGCCTCCGCCGGTTGCATTGAGCCAAGGTGAAGGCGATCATGTAGAACCTCCGGTTAACGATGTGGACCATTCGCCTTCTGGTTTTAATTTGTGGTGGGTTTTAAGCGGAACAGTGTTATGCTGCTGCGCTACGTGCATCGTGTATTTTTGACACGAGAAGTCTTTTTTTTTTGCATCACAGTTAAAACAGGAAAAAGAGTAACAAATTTCTTTCTTTTTTGCGGGGCGGAGAAGCCTGTTATGTCTCGTTTACCGTGCTTCAGCCGCTAAATCATCTTTTTTTTGAATTTGCGCACGCTGGCTTTTCCGACTTTCACCAGGCCGCGAATTGGAGGACAAAGCTTTTATTAATCTGCAATTCTTCTCACTAACTCCTCTCTCTTTCAACTCATAACTCTCCTCTTTCTTTTTTCTTCCAAATATTTATATGCACACACAAAATGCATCCTTTTTTCCCGTGCATATTTTAACTTTAGACATCTTGCTTGGTGTATCGCTCTCTCTTCTCATCTAGCAATTTTCGTTGTGCTAGCGAAACGAAAAGGAGAAACGTGGTCTGTGCCTTCGTTGGACTAGATTGGCAATGTGACGTAAGCTGCGGCTCACGGTGACAACCTGCTTACACTTTATAGCTGGCGTGTTTGAGTATGAGCCGCTAGATTTTGTTTCCATCTTGGACAGTAATTGGTGTTTTCCAATACTTAGGCGCACACGGTGACCACCAGCTTTTTCCCATAGCTGATTCGTTTGAGTATGTGCTCCGAGATGTACGCGTCTCGTTTCCGCTTGGCGCCAAATGACGCACACGGAAGCCAGTATCGTTGACCTGCTGAAAGCTTTTGGTGTTGGTGCCGTTAAACTTCGCGGTTGCCAGTTGCACATGCGACCGCAAGAACGTACAGCACCAACAGGAACAAGACCGCGACGAGGTTTCTTTCGTATTTGACTTGCTGTGGTGGATATAACGGTAATTTCTCTGTGCTCAGGTTTTTTCCGCAGCACGTGCGATTCATCAGCTTCTAGAAAGCTGTCACAAAGTTAGAACCATTGTAATCGAAATGTCAACTTTTTTCTTTTCCATCTCCGTATCTTAAAGCTGCTCTCATTTTTCTTTCCTTTCGACAACAAAATGCATTTCGTTCTGCTACTCCGCTGCCATGCGTTTGTCTGGCAAAGTCTTGAAAACTGAACTCAATTTATGTTGGCATAGTGTAACTGAACAAAAGTGTCTCATTTTTCCGATGTCGCATTCCGCCACACCAAAGCACGGGCGTAGGCTCTGCGACCCTGCGTGGCTCCAGAATCGTTTTCCTTCTATCTCCTCAGACGTGCCGTACGAGCTCAAGGTGTCCAGTCATCAATGCCACAGTCGAGGGCAAGCCAGCGAAGAAGAATTCACGAACCTCATCTCCTCCTCGTTTCGGCAAACTTTAAGAGATGTGCTTCCTTACCCCGAATCGTTTCGCACAGTCTCGAGCGCTCCAGGCGGAATCTGGTTTTGGGAGGTGTATCGTCATGCTTTGTTCGGTGAAAACGTGATTGTGCATTTGGGCGGAACTGGTCTTTCTCTGACGGAGGATTTCCCTGCCAGTCAAGCCGAGTTGCGGTCCAAGGCGTGCATCGAATACGTCCCCGCATCAGCGCGTTCACGTCACCTGCTTGCGCATGGCGCCGCGAAACTGGAAGTTTTGTACGCCCTTTCCCTCACCGTTGCCTTGCATGTGGCCAAACATCCGGTGCTAGAGCGCGCACAAGGACCACGGGCGGTGGTGTTGTGCGCGACTCATTCTCAGTGCATTGAGTTCACTGCCATCTTGAACCTCTTTTGCCCCTCGCTGCACCTGGTTGTGCACAACTTATTTGAAGGGTACCCTTCGCTGCCCGCAGGTAAACGCGCCGACGTGGTCGTCGGAACACCACCGCTATGGGAGTCCGTATCGCAGCTCGGAGGCGGGTCTTCCACTGTCAACATCGACGCCGCAGCACGTTTGGGAGGGTTGGAAGACTTGCTGCTTGACATAGAAGGCGATGGCCAGCTACCTCCAGCATACAACCTCAGTCGGTGGCGTCCGTATAAGCTGACGTACGTGGAGCAGCTGGTTCTGTTCGACGTCGAATTGCAGGTGAGCATGGGGTTCGGGTCAATTCTGCAGCACGTTGTAAATGCGCAAGATGCTCCAACAAGCCCCTGCAAGGCAAATAATGAGGTGTGCCCGAAGGGAGGGCTACCCATCTCGTGCCAGCAGTATGTAGTCGTTGGCGAGGACAGATTCAGAGTTGATGATGGTGCAGTGGAGATTCTGCTGAGGGCAGTTGGTGAAAGGGGAGGGGTGTTGGGAAATGGTGGAACGGCAGAAATCGTACTCGCTTCTGCACAAGCTCTCAACAACGACGATCACCTACGCAAACGGTCACGGGAAGGAGAGGTAGACGCCGAGGAAGGAAAAACGAAGTTTCGCCGCGCAGAAGACGATGAAAGAATTCAAGAAAGGCACTCGGCGGAGGCGAGAAGCTCGACACAGAGCCTGCCAACGACTGTTTCGGCTCCTAAAAACTTCGACGGTCTTTTCATTCGTAACGCGCTGTCCCACGCTCGATTAGTAGCCGACTTCGACGCTCTCACAGACTTCACACAGCGGTTGATCGACGTGGCCGAAGAGTTTTGGCTGCAGTTCGAAGGAGTAGCACAAGGAGAGCATGACGTTGCCGCTGTGTTGGAAGGGTGTGCCACCGATGCAGCCGGCACAGTTTCACAGCCGTCACTGAAACCACCAACGGCAGTGTCCCGTGCACTTCAAGTTGACCTCGCTCTTGTTTGCGTCAAGCTCGATGCTGTAGATCGTTGTAAAGAGGAAGTCCGTGCTTCGTCGAGCAAGGTTGCAAGCCACCGGGCACAGGAACTGGGAATATGGGTGCACCCCGCATCGACAGCTGGCGATGCCTATTCTTCCCGTTTTGTCTTACTTTTTAAGCATCTGTCTGACCACTTCAACGGAGAGCTCTTCGATGGCAGCATTATACAATGCGTGCTCGCCGAGGACACCCCTCGACTCCCTTTCAACCTTTTCCCGCTAAACTCCGACTGCGCTTTTCCCGTGCGTCTTTTGCTCAATGATGCTTTTGTGTATGGAGAAAACTTGTTGCGTCCGACCCTTTTAGAGATGGCGAAGAAGAGCAAGAGCGAAGAGACCGAGGCCATGGCAGAGCGCGCCAACGAACGTCTTTGTGTCACGTCTGCTAGAGAAAGTGGCGATTCTGTTCAGCGACGCGGCGAGGAGGGCATACCCTTTTCCCTGTTTCTTCTTCCTCCCAGCCGTTCACCATCAAACGGGGCTTTAAAGTCGTCGTTGCCGGTTGTGCCTGTCGATACTGGAACTGTTATGGTTCTCCGACATTTGCTGCTTTCCCAAGCCGAGTCGTGCGGGGCAAAGGCAAGCACAGGGAATGCCACCACAAATAGCGCAGAGAAACCGTTTGTTCTCCATGTCATAGAAGAGTGCTGCCAGTATGGTCGTGTGCTTTCCTATCACGTGCACGAGGATCCGCTACAACGGCCGCAGAGTTCTTTGAGGTCGACAGTAGGAAATAATGAGGACCAACCCGCAGTAACGGACCTGGCCACGCCGGGAGCAGCGACCGTGACGTGGGACACGCATAACACAGTGCTCTCTGTATTTGTTGAATTTGCCAGTGCTGAATCCGCGATTGAGGCCGCGCGTCAGTTTGCGCAGCGGTTTGCTCTCCAAGCCGCTGAAACAAAACAGCCGGAAAGCCACAACCCCCGCGTCCGGCTCTTTCGAAACAGCACTTATTATCAAGGTGTACACCAAGATGAGATGCGCATGTTGAGGCAGGACTCTAGCGATACCAGAGACGTGGACGATAACGACGAGTTCTTCGATGAGTTGCTCACAGAATCGCTTTTGGCGGAGTGAAAAGAATGAAAGAAAGCGTCTATTCGATCAGAACCTGTTGAGGCAGGTACTGCAGCTCTAAGTTAAGAAAAAACGGCCAACACAGCGAACGTTTTCAAGGGTTAAAAACAAAGAAGAACAAATCTTGCGTTGCCAATCGTACTAGAGACAGCCCCTCTTCACAAGCTTCGCTGCCATCTACAGATTTTAATTCCTTTCCCAAGATATCACGGAGGGAGAACAGATTTCATCACCGCGCCTCCAACCTGTTCATGCCGTTAGACATATGAGATACCTTTCAACCTGAGCTGTCACACAAGCTACACCTCTACGGTGTTGCTGTCTCTACGCAAACTTCAACCTTAGTATCGCTCTCTACTTCTCAAACGCCAACGTTCCCACAAGAATCAACGCTATCCAACCAAAAACTAACCGCTCGCTTTCCTTTCCCTTTCTAACCCTCGCACCCACCCCACCTCTCTCGATCATGTCCGCCACGATCACGGTGCTCCAGTCGCAGCTGCCCGCGTACGGCCGCGTGCGCACGCCGTACGAGAAGGAGCTGCTGGAGACGGCACGCATTCTTGCGACGCGCGGCAAGGGCATCCTCGCTGCGGACGAGCCGAACGACGCGTACGACGCGCGCTTCGCACCGATGGGCCTGGAGAACAACGAGGCGAACCGCCGCAAGTACCGCGTGGTGCTGCTGGAGACGGAGGACCTGCACAAGTACATTGGCGGTGTGATCCTGAGCAAGGAGACGGTGGAGCAGCAGTGCAGCCAGGGGATGATGTTCACGGAGATGCTGCGCAAGAACGGCGTTGTGTCTGGCGTGAACGTGGACGGCGGCCTGCGTCCGTTCTACGAGGGCGCGCCTGGCGAGGAAATGACTGCCGGCATGGACGGGTACGTGGAGCGCGTGCAGCACTACTACAAGCTTGGTGCGCGCTTCTGCAAGTGGCGCAACGTGTTCAAGATCCAGAACGGCAACGTGTCGGAGTCGCTGATCCAGTTCAACGCAGAAACGCAGGCACGCTACGCCGCGCTGTCGCAGCTGAACGGGCTTGTGCCGATTGTGGAGCCGGAGGTGATGCTGGAGGGCACGCACGACGTGGAGACGTGCCAGCGCGTGTCGGAGCACGTGTGGGCGACGGTGTTCGCTGCGCTGCACCGCCACGGTGTGATCCTGGAGGGCATGTTCCTGAAGCCGAGCATGGTTGTTGCCGGGTCTGAGTCTGGGATCAAGTGCGCGCCGGAGGAGGTTGCGCTGGCGACTGTGCAGACGCTGTCGCGCGTTGTGCCGCCCGCGGTGCCTGCGATCGGGTTCCTGTCTGGTGGTCTGAGCGAGCTGCAGTCGTCGGAGTACCTGAACGCGATCAACAACGCGCCCGTTGCGCGTCCGTGGCACCTGACGTTCACGTTTGGGCGTGCGTTGCAGGGCAGCGCGCTGAAGGCGTGGAAGGGCAAGGACGAGCTGATCCCGGATGCGCGCCGCGCGTTCCTGCACCGTGCGCGCATGAACTCGCTTGCCTCGCAGGGCAAGTATGACCCGAAGCTGGAGGCGGAGGCGTAGGCGTCAAGCGCGTGGGCAGGAAGAAGAATTGGCGATATGGTTGTTCTTGTTCGACAGTCAATACGTGCTTGGCTTTCTCTCCACCAGGAACGGATTGTGTACCGATCTCCTCTCCTTATGTCTAGTGGTGACGGCATTCGGTTGTGCTTTCGATTCTACTATGCGGAGACTAGCTGTCTCTTTTCTTTTCAAATGGACGTTGTGTGATGGTTGAACTCAGGCAGTCGTGGTTGACGGCCACCTCTGAGCGAAGCTGTCGGACTTCGGAAGTTGAAGGTGAGACGCTGATTCAGTCTTGGGTCTTTCCACGACGATGATCCTCTCATCCCACCAAAAGCTAAGTTATTTTGTCCTCTTCTTTTTAAACATTCAAAATGCCAAAAAGCTGTTAAAAAAAACGTATGATGTGCGCCTTTAATTGGACGATGCCGTGCAGCAGTGAAGTCCTCTTTTTTCTTTTTCCATCACCAAAGAAAGAGAACTTCTCCTCTGTTCTTACGCTGCGCTTCTTTCTTGACCAGCGAAGGAGGTTTTTTTCTGTTTCTTGTGTAGACAGCGTCAGCAATGTAAGAAGTTTAAGGACGGAATAGGTTACATTATATAGGTAGGTCGTTCTCTTCCTGGTTTATCTGGGCTCTCTCTTTTTCATTTTCTTTGTTTCCACAAAAACGTTTCTCTCTGGGTGGAAATGCACCACTATCTCTTTAAGATAGTTTCTTTTATTTATTATTATTATTATTATTTTGAATTGTAATACCGTTTGTTTCTGATGGACGCGATATCCACCTCTTTCTGCCAAAAGCCACAAAACAACAACAACCAAGCTAACCAAGCATCAAAGAACGGCATGTATGTGCGAGGGTACCGCAAAGGAAAGTTCAAGGAACGCGTTTGCAGTGGTGCAGATTCTGTCCTTCTGGAGACGTACACAGTAATCATGAGAGGGAGTTATTCACAGATACTCCGTAGCTTTCGCAGTTATCTATAACCAGCTGACGTGCGCTTCATTTTCACGTCCCTTTATCTTTTTTTTTGTTTGACTCTTTCCCTCGCTCTCTTTCTTCTCCTCCTCCTGTTTTGATGATCTCTAATGCCCATTGCGTAACACTTCGATGCACTGTCTTCTTCGCAAATCTGCTTCATTAACAATCGCAATTATTACTTCTCGCTACAGTCTTCTAAGTCGGAAAAAAGGAGTCAATGGTGTCTCTGAAGCTGCAGGCCCGTCTGGCGGCGAGCATCCTCGGCTGCGGCCGTGCTCGCGTGTGGCTGGACCCCAACGAGGCGATGGAGATCCAGAACGCGAACTCGCGCAAGAGCGTGCGCAAGCTTGTGAAGGACGGCTTCATCATCCGCAAGCCGGTGAAGGTGCACTCCCGTGCCCGCTGGCGCAAGATGAAGGCGGCGAAGGACATGGGCCGCCACAACGGCGTTGGCCGCCGCGAGGGTAGCCGCGAGGCCCGCATGCCGAGCAAGGAGCTGTGGATGCGCCGCCTGCGCATTCTGCGCCGCCTGCTGCGCAAGTACCGCGCGGAGAAGAAGATCGACCGCCACGTGTACCGCGACCTGTACGTGCGCGCGAAGGGTAACGTGTTCCGCAACAAGCGCAACCTGATGGAGCACATCCACAAGATCAAGAACGAGAAGAAGAAGGAGCGCCAGCTTGCGGAGCAGCTTGCCGCGAAGCGCACGCGCGACGAGCAGAACCGCAACAAGTCCCGCAAGCAGGAGCTGAAGAAGCGCGAGAAGGACCGCGAGCGTGCGAAGCGCGACGACGCCGCCGCTGCTGCGCAGAAGAAGAAGGCCGAGGCCGCGAAGAAGTCCGCTGCCCCTGTTGCGAAGAAGGCCGCCGCTGCGCCGGTGAAGGCCGCTGCCCCGGCGAAGGCTGCCGCTCCGGTGAAGGCCGCTGCCCCGGCGAAGGCTGCCGCTCCGGCGAAGGCCGCTGCCCCCGCGAATGCCGCCGCTCCCGTGAAGGGTGCTGCGCCGGCGAAGAAGTCGAAGAAGTAAGCCAGCGGCGGTGCCCCGCGTACCGCAGCTGCTTGACGCTGTTCGGCTTTTCCTTCCCTTGTCGTTCTGTGTGGTGTCAAACCTGTTCGGAGCTGAAGACATTGTTTTTTTTTTACTTTTTGGTTCATTTCTTCGTAACTTAGTCAAACACATCGACAACAGAGTAAATGTGAGGACAACGTTGCTGTGCGATCACAGCGTACCAACGCTGCTGGAAAGCCGCACAGAAAAGCGGATGAAGAGGTCGGACCCACCTCACGTAGGACGTGGAAATCATCAGGAGGGCAGAGGGTGTATGCGGCGTCGTACGTTTTTTTTTACAAGCGACGCAAGCATTCCCTTGGTTCCCTTCGTGTGTTATTGATGTGATGGTCTCTCGCTCTTGTGAGTGGTCCGTTTCTGCCTTCGCGTCCTCGTTCTGTGCGTTACTTGCACGCGCTATGCGTTTTGGTGCTCTTCACTGCGTCTTTGATGAGGCGGGTCTCCGACTTAATTGGAGAAGAAGGTGAAGCGGAGGTTTGAGCTGATATATATGGCCGGTGCAGCTGTAACGTTTATCAGTAGTTTAGTATCGTGCACGCTGCACACGGCATGAGATTGGCGTCTTGCCCAATTTCATGTACGCTATCTTCTTTCTGTTTCCCCTCTCGGTCGATTTCCTCTTGCCTTCTCTTTAATGCTTGTGGTTTTTGCCGTGTAGAATGCTCTCTGCGCCAGTGCAAAGCAACGACGGAGTTCACAAGCAGTATTCGCTTCTGATTCTTTCGTGGTAGCCTATTGGACCCTTGATTGACACTTATTTGGTAGCCCTGCTACAAGAAGAGAATCCGATTTATTCATATTGCCAGATTTCCGTTTCAAGAAAGTCGCCCATCATTTTAGCTTTCTGCACAATACAGTGCGCTACGAATTCAGCTCGTAGCGCACGCCTCGTAAAAGAGGGCTCCCCCAAAATAAATATAATATTTCCAACGCTATTAGCTTTCCTTTGGCACTCTTCTGTCCATTGAAAGGAGGAGGAAGAAGAAAGTAACAGCTAGAGTGTCCTCAACAATAACAACACTGGAAAAAAAAAAGAAACAGCTCAGGGGTCCTTGTGTTGCCAAGATGTCGCACATGACAGCTGATTTGGAGTACTTTAAGTGCGATATGTGCGGCGTGTACATGCATCGCGACATTTTCTGCGACCACCGCCGCGACTGCCACGGCCGTGACAGCACCGTGCTGAAGCGAGGCGAGTGCGCGAAGCTGTCCGACGCGCTCAGCCGCGAGACACGAGAACTGTTGCTGGCGAGAGAGGCGGAGGCCGGCGCGCCCACTCGACCTATTGATGCACCGATACTGCAACGGAGCAGCAACGGCAACGGCAACAGTGAGGCGATGGCGGCCGACGCTAGCGCCGGTGCTGGACAACGCTGTCGCGAAGCCGATCGTGTTGTGGGAGAGAAATGCGAATTTGGCTCATGCGATCAGGCATCAGAAGCAGCAACGGCCACCGAAGCCGCAGCGACGTTATCGAAGGCGCCTTCTTCATCGCCGTCGGTTTCCCGCAACGGTGATCCGGTCAAGATAAGTGCCTCGGTCTCCGTTGCGGAGCTGGAGCGGCGCCAGGAGGCGCGGACGCGGCGGGCGGTGTCGGACCGGTATCAAGCGACGCTAGACGCGAAGATTAGCGCGTTGCTCACAGAGGAAAAGAAGTCGGCGCTCCTGAGCTTCTTAAATTCGTAGCCCACAAAAACGGAAGAAGACGGTGAGCAGGTGACTTTCAGGGGCCTGCTGCGTTGAACAAGGCACATTGAACAAAGAAGCTGTAGAGCGAAGTCCACCTGGTTTTCTTTTTTTCTTAAGATCTTTTGATCATCTTGCGAGGGAAGGGGGAGAGAGGGTGATGCACTCCTCATGAATGTACACTAAAACTGAACTGTTCTATTTTTCTTTCTTTTCTCACCGGTGCTTTATTCAGCTTCTTGTCCAAACCGTTTTCGTATTGTTGTTGTTGTTGCTCTTCGTGTGCCAAAACACGTGTTGCGACGGTATCTGTTACTGTCACGAAGATCAGCACGATTGCACAAGAGAGTGCTCACTACCGCAGCAACGAATGGTACCAGAGCAGGTTTTACGAGGATGGCGAGGTTTAATGGTACAAGGAGGCACTTTCGAAGCCTGTCTGCGCCAGCGATCTTTTCACAGAAAAGATGTACCAAACGCTTCCCTGCAAAGAGTCTTCCACGAGTAGGGACGCAGAGAGGAACAAACGCAGCAGGAAACGTTTTTTTTTTGTATTGTTTTTAAATCGATGCAAGGTGAACGGTGCAATGAAAAAATTCACTCGCTTCTTTCCAAAACAGTCTATGTTGAAGCGAGCGCATCGATTCTCTCTACCGCGAGCCCGTGAGTGACGCTTTTGCCTTTCCTGTTTGCTTCACTCTAATGTCATACCTCCTTCTTTTTCTCTTGCCTTTCGTGCGTCTCTTCCGCAACTTGTGCGTATGCGTGTCGCGCCGCATGTGCGCTTTCTCAACCCTGCATACGTCTTTTTCTGTTCGTGTCTGCTGTGTTTGGCGTGCGTCGTGCAACAACACCCAAACCCAAACCCAACACACAACGTATCTTTCGCTTTCGTATTCATCACTTCCGACTGCTGCGTACGTACGCATTCGAATTGATCTACCCACTGTAAAGGAGAACATCCTCTCAACTTGACAATGGTGTCTCTGAAGCTGCAGGCCCGTCTGGCGGCGAGCATCCTCGGCTGCGGCCGTGCTCGCGTGTGGCTGGACCCCAACGAGGCGATGGAGATCCAGAACGCGAACTCGCGCAAGAGCGTGCGCAAGCTTGTGAAGGACGGCTTCATCATCCGCAAGCCGGTGAAGGTGCACTCCCGTGCCCGCTGGCGCAAGATGAAGGCGGCGAAGGACATGGGCCGCCACAACGGCGTTGGCCGCCGCGAGGGTAGCCGCGAGGCCCGCATGCCGAGCAAGGAGCTGTGGATGCGCCGCCTGCGCATTCTGCGCCGCCTGCTGCGCAAGTACCGCGCGGAGAAGAAGATCGACCGCCACGTGTACCGCGACCTGTACGTGCGCGCGAAGGGTAACGTGTTCCGCAACAAGCGCAACCTGATGGAGCACATCCACAAGATCAAGAACGAGAAGAAGAAGGAGCGCCAGCTTGCGGAGCAGCTTGCCGCGAAGCGCACGCGCGACGAGCAGAACCGCAACAAGTCCCGCAAGCAGGAGCTGAAGAAGCGCGAGAAGGACCGCGAGCGTGCGAAGCGCGACGACGCCGCCGCTGCTGCGCAGAAGAAGAAGGCCGAGGCCGCGAAGAAGTCCGCTGCCCCTGTTGCGAAGAAGGCCGCCGCTGCGCCGGTGAAGGCCGCTGCCCCGGCGAAGGCTGCCGCTCCGGTGAAGGCCGCTGCCCCGGCGAAGGCTGCCGCTCCGGCGAAGGCCGCTGCCCCCGCGAATGCCGCCGCTCCCGTGAAGGGTGCTGCGCCGGCGAAGAAGTCGAAGAAGTAAGCCAGCGGCGGTGCCCCGCGTACCGCAGCTGCTTGACGCTGTTCGGCTTTTCCTTCCCTTGTTGTTCTGTGTGGTGCGCGTGCATGGTGGCGCTTTTCCATCTTGCCACGCTCTCCGACATCTCGCATAAAAGGAGATGCTTCAATGTTCTCTCTTCTGTTTTCTGCAATTTCATTTATTCATTTTTCCCCCTAAAACAACAACGCAAAAGAGGAAAACGGGTTTTCTTCCGCGAGAGGGCTTCAGGCACGCACAAGACAAACGCCACGAATGTGCTCCTGCTACGTTTGGATGGCATCGCGCTATTCCAGGCTCACCGTTGAGTCGGCGGTGGCGCACCTGGCTCTTTTCTTTGCCTTTCTTTGCTTAGTACACAACGTCTCTCGAGAGGCAGTCTTGGAAGATTTTCGATCAGGAACGTTTCTTCGTCGCTTTTCGAGATGCCTTTCCAATGAAGTATTTGATTCCCGTTGGTGCGCGTACGAAGTACCTTCGCTTTGTCATGATATTATTTCTTTCTCCTTAGTTTTCTTCCCCCCTCCCCTCCCCCTCCTCCTTCTCCTTATTCGCTTCGCATTGATGCCTTACCCCTGTGTTTCATGTCGATGTGCACTCGAAAACAAGCAAACAAACATAAGCTGCACCTTCTTGATGCCACGCTTTTAATTCCACCTTTTACTCACAACGCACACGACTACCATATATATATATCTGTTTTCCTTCTCATATATATATATCTAGAGATCTTTTAAGACGATCAAGTGCATCTGTACCCCCTTTTTTCTGTTATTATTGATAGTTACGGCCCTCTTTTGTTTTCCCTCACAAACACAAAAAATAGTGGACACCATCCAGGTCATCTTTTTCGAAGTGTTTTGGCTTCATTCTTTTCCGCTCTTGAGAGAAAAAAGAAAAAGAGTTCTGCCTTCGTGTCGTCGTTTCGGGCGTCTATATTATCATCATAGTTTGTTTTTCTAACAGCTTTACTGTTATCACCATTATCACCACATTTCTTTTTCCCCTCTCAACACTGTACATACACCTTTGAAGAAGTGCTACTACAACTGACTTTCTGCGGAAGAAAACCCCCTTTTTTGTTTACGCTATCAGCAGGTGGCAAGGTCCGTAGCTCGTGTGCTAAGACTCCCATTTTAACAAAAAGGAATCTGGAGCACCTGTGCACGTGATGCAAACACCCACGTTGTTGAAGTCAACTACCGTGATTCACGTCTCTTGACACCAGAGCAACCAGAAGTGGCTACAGCTGTTTTGTGTTTACTTCCTTGTTGACGTTCGTCGAACAAAGATTTGCGCTTAGAAGTGTGCACAGACCGCCTTCCTGTTCGTTTGTGCGCTGCTTTTCCTTTCCTTTCCTTTCCTCTTTTTTTTTCTGGTTTGAGCGAGTGGTGCCGCTTCAACTTTCTCGCGTCTTCTCCTTTTCGTGTCTCAGCATCGCTTCTGTGTTGGCGGCTCGCTGTCCGCCCTTCGTTGCGAGGCAACTGACTGTGTTACGTCTCTTCCCTTTATTTAGTTTATTTGAGGAGATTACTGTAGCTGTGGTTTTTGTTCCTATTGTTTTTTTCTAGGTCTGTTGTTCGTGTGCGCGCGTGTGGGGAATACGCAAGCAAGCCGCCCCGCCCCTCCCCCCTCCCCCCCTTTCATCGCCAATGATCCCCGCTCTGAATATGACCAAAATACACCGCAGCCCCCCTGCCAATACCTTCAGCGGTGGCGGCAGCGGTGGCGGTGGTGGTGGCGGGGTAGTGGGCCAGGGCAACGTGTCTCGCCTGCACATGAGTCGGCAGATGTCCCCGCGCACGCCGAACGTGACCTCGCCGAGCGATGCCACATCCAGTCAGCCCTCTGCTCACCTGACCCGCCGCGCGGCGGAGGTCACACCTGTTTTGGAGATGAATCCCCTGCAGTGTCAGAACGTCAGCGAGTTGCAACGGAAGCTGATTGACACGGCGGAGTGGGTGATGAAGCTTCGCTATTACTACGCGGCGCAGTTGCAGGAGCGCGATCAGTGGCTCGAGGCCCGCCTGCGCCACTTCGAGAAGTTCTACGCAGATGCTGTCAATGCCGCGGCGGAGGCGCGTGTGGCATCCACCACCCCCACCACAGCAAGTGCGAACGGCAGCCCCGTTGACAACGGCGCACCGGCGACCATCTCCACTTCGAAAATGGCCGGCTTCAGCGGTGTCCCGCACCGCTCCGTCAGTGAGGCGAGGGCGACGGAGAGCGAGAAAGATAGCACGACACCTGCACCCCGTCGTCCCAGTAAGCAGCAGGAGAACACGACGCAGTTTAGTGCGGTCAGCAGTCCACAGCCGTCCTTGCCGAACAACGCACACGCAGACACCGCCGGTGTCGCCGTGGTAGAAGACATCAACAGCAGCGCCGCGCGTACGCGGACGAGCCAACCGAAGAAGTCAGCGGTGGTGCGCATCCCGCGCGGTCGGCGGACCGTCTCAGTCGGCAGCGTGCGGCGGCAGCAGTGGCCGCTCGACGGCGCCAACTCGTCGCATTTGAGCGGGGTGGTGTTGTTGGCCGTCGATCGCGGGGAGTCGCGGCCGACGCGTGCGGCGCGCAGCACGGCAGAGACCGACATTAACAACACTAGCAGCGGCAGTGCGATCACGGACGGTACCGGTGGCGTCGCACATTATCGCGGCCCACCCGAGCTCGCTGCTGTGCGAGGGACGCCGTCATCTAACTTAGTTGTCGAGGCGGACGGGCCTCGGTTGGACGTGTTGGCGGCTACGGCACCCACCACGATGCGTCCAGGGAAGAGCGCGCTGCCCGACACGTTGTCCTCAAATCACGTTTCCTTTTCCGGAAGGGAGGCAGACCGGCGGAAGGCGGAGTCGAGCACCTCGCGCCGACGCTGTTACTCCTCCTCGCCGCGGGCGATGACTACCGACATGTCGGCGACGGCACCGCCGCACTCGCAGTACCTCGAAGCCGGCTTTGGATTGAGACGTGATGTACACCTCAGTAGCACGGCGCCGACCTCTCGAGAGAACAATGGGCTGCACACGAGCGTGGGCTCGCCGGAGCCGGCACAGAGCCGCACCCCGCGGGAGGGTGGGAGTTCGCTGTTTCACCTCTTTGGCAGCGGTAGGAGTCGGCCGGGCAGAGTGTACAGCACGAGCCGGCCCTCGCAGGCAAGCCGGCGCACCGCCTCTCGCGGGCTTTCGGGTCGGGTAAAGCAGCGGAGCACGAGCAGCACCAGCGTGAGTTTGCAAAGCTCACCAGCCCGCACGCACACCCTATGAAAAGGAGTGTTCAAGCAGTGAACGCACGCTTTCGAGAAAATCATTGATCGAACGAACTCAGAAGGATGTTGGAGTTAAACCTGCCGCTTTGGATTCGTTGTATCTGTGCTCACTCATTCCCGCCTTCTTTTCTTTATTATATTATTATTATTCCATCAACAGCTTTTTGAATACCCTTCGTTTTATCCTTTCACTTGCCTTTCTTTTGTTGGTGTGCCTCGCAGAGGAAATTCTTCCCCCTTTTTCGATTTCGCGTAGTGAACTTCGTGTTGTCTGTGCACGTTTGTGTTGTAGAAGCTTATCTCGAGGGCATCCAGTATCTTGTGGAAACGGACGAAAAAAGAAAAACATATATGTATCAGAAACGCTGCTTTTATTCCTTTCTCTCGTCTTCCTCTCTCTTCCGCAGGTGTCTCTTCACTTAAATTATTTCGTCATTCTCTGTTCTCCTCTTCTTAGTGGTGTGTGCTGATTTCCTCGTTTATTAAAAACTTATTTGCCCTTACCAGCGCACACCTCACGTCTGTCGGTCCTTTTCCTTGTTCGAACTTCTTTTCAAAAACCACTGTCGTTGATTAAGAGCTCTCTATATGTTTTGCTTTTCGTTTTAAAATTTCCAGTTACGTCTGCAGTTGCCGTGAACATGCAAACACCGCTGATTTGGCCGCCGACCTTGTGTGTTGCCGGTGTTTCCCATTCACGCGTAGACCTCACTTCGTGGTGGAGGTGAAAAAGCTCTCTTCTTTTTTTTTTCCACGCTTCTTCGCTTTGCGAATGCGAAATCGGTTGCTGCTTACCGCTGTTGTTCATCGTGGAAGAGAAGAATGGTATTACATGCCGGCCACTGCGGGTGGCGAGAGGTCAATGAGAGGCTCGATCGGCGTCATCATCAAGGACAACAGGAATACTGTGATGACACTTATGATGATGGTGTGCGTACATGTAGGCTTGGCGAAGCAGCGTAATAATGGGAAAAAGGAAACGTCGAGAGTGGAAGGTGCGTAGCGTGGCTTCTTTTGTGTACCGCACCTCATCAAAAGCGAAACAGGACACCATTTAGACCCCGTGTATCGGCTGTGAACAACCTATTCGTGCCTGTTGTGCAAGCTTCACAAACAAGTAAACTGAAAAAGAAAAGCAATATATAAAAGTAAGTACGCTGGCGTCCTTCTTATTAAATGATAATTTACTTCTCGCAGGGCTTAACTGGGTTTTTTTTTTCCAGCGCTCTCGACGGCTTGAAAGGCTGGCTTGGTTATGTGAAGGTAAGGGAGCGACAACAAGAGAGAGCACCTCCTCTTTCGCACGAGTTACACTTGAGAAGAACGACAAAGGCCCTACAGCAGACGGAAACTCACCCTCTCCGCTCCGTCCTCTCTCTCTACCCGTCTCCGCTCTTTCTCATCTCGTCTTTTCTTTCCTTTTTTTCTGGCTTACCGGTGCAGGTCCTGCACACGAGTGTGGTTGATTCTCTTTTTCCTTCCCCCGCTCGCCGTCGCTTCACCATTCGCCGAACGATAACGGAAGCGAACGAACAGCATTACACGCGAAAGGGGTAAGCTGGGCAGCAACCGAGTACGCTCCATCTTGTCTCCCCAGATCGTTTCTTTTTCTTTTCTTTTAGCATCATCATAGAGTGCCAGCAGAAGGAGAAGAAGCCAAAAGATCCAAGAAAAAAACCAGCAATTCCAGACCTCATCTTCGATTTTTCGTAGTCGGTCCTATGGAGGCGTTCAGTCGAAGCAAGTCTTTTAGCCAGGCAGCCTCTGCCTCCAACCCGTCCCTCCCACCAACCCGCGTCGGCGCCGCCACGCCCGCTCTCTCGTCCACCTCCCCTCAGCCACAGCAGAATGTGGTGAAGAACATCTTGAAGAGTGTGGAGAGCCACGTGCGGATCATGTCCGCGGTGGAGCGCACGGCGACGTCGTCGAACTGCACCTCTATTCGACTGCAAAAACCCGACAGCGACGGCGGTGCCTCGGCGGCGTCCTCGCCGGATCAGAAAGGATCTTCGTCCTCGCAGCCCTCGAGCCAGTCCACCGCCAACGCGGGCGGAGGCGTCGGTGGCAGCGGCAGTGGCAGGTGGTCGGAGTCCTTCAACGTCACCCGCGTCCATCGCGGCGGCGCCACGAACCGCTTCTACGAGGAGGTCGTCGCCCCGTGTGTGTCGAACTGCACCTCGGGCCAGAGCTACGTGTTTCTCGTCAACGGTCCGCCAGAGAGTGGGCGGAGTCAGACTCTCTACGGCAGCCCCCACCACAACGAGCTGGGGCTGGTGGAGCTGGCCGCGGCCGATTTGCTAGAGCGTATGTCGTCGAGTGGGAAGGTGATTATGCGCAACCACCGCGACGGCGGCGGAAACAAGGAAAACGACCTCAGCAAGGCTCAGAGCAACAACGCGAATAGCAATAATAATAATGGACGCGAGGACGGCTCCGAGGTGACCATGACGGGCGGCATCACGGTGACCTATGCCGCCTTCACCACGCGTGGGGCGAGGATGGTAGAGACGGAGACGAGCGAGCCCGTGCCGCTGGTGGAGTTCCCACCCCCGCTCGGTTACGTGCCGCTGCCGCAGATGCGCCTGCTCGAGGACGCGAGTCGGGCGGTGCTGCTACCGGAGCGGAAGCACGTTGACACTTCGTGCGTGATCCAGTTCCACGTGTACGCCCCGGTGGACAGTACCGGACGGCGCTCGATGGCGACGCTGACATTTGTAGACGTCGCGGCGATACGCGAGCCCCTGTGCAAGGAGGTGGCACACCTCATCGAGACGGTCGAGCGCGTCGCCGGCGTGGCGTCGAGCGGCGGCGATCCGAACTTCAAGGAGACGAAGCTGACGACGCTACTAGAGCCGGCCTTGGTGGGCTACGTCACCCTTGTCTCCATCACCACCCTCAGCGGCCGGCCCGACCTCTACGACTCTTCGTGCACCGCGCTACGCTTCGCGAGCAACATCAGCCGGATTCACCAGGTGCTCATGCTGACCCACATCAACGCCCCACGCTGGATCTTTGACACGGGCGTCAGTCTGGAGCAGCTGCGGATGCAGCGCGACCAACTCATGGCGGAGCACTACCAACGAGGCGTCTACGACTACTACGAGACGGCGACGCGCTGGCTGCGGCAGAACGTCGGCGACATCGATGGCAGTGTGCAGCACCTGCTGGACGAGACGGCGGTGGTTCGCAAGGACGTGGCGCGGGAGGTGGAGGAGCAGTCGAAGGAGCTGCAGGCGAGTATTGCAGCGGAGGAGGCGAACTGCCGGGCAGAGGTGGAGGCGGCCCGGGCAGCGTACGACGCCACCTCGCACCAGTTTGAGGAGGTCCGCCGCCTTGACGAGGCCATCGCCGCTCTGCAGCAAAGGTTGTCGCAGACGGACATGCAAAGCGCTCAGCGCATCAGCGAAATGCGGCTTGAGATATCCGCGCTAGAGGCGAAGGCGAACAATCAACGCCAGCAGCTGCAGCAGATCGAAAAAGAAATGAAGTTGTACGTACTCAAGACAAACGAAGTCTCCGAGACGCTGAGCAAGTACGCGGAGGAGGCACGCTACGGCCAAGGCACGTACGCAATGGCGCACGAACTGACCGACCTCGGTCGCAAGCGCCGGCGACTGGAGTCGGACTTGGAGCTGGCCTCGCGAGTGGCGCAGCGCACGACGGACACCATGCGGGTCGACCGCGAGCGACGTTCGCGCATCTCGCGACTTAGTGCCATGCAGCAGCGGGTGCAGTCGTTGCGTGAGACGGTCCAGTCGTCCACCAGTAATCTCCCATGTTCACAGCAGCCGCAACAGCCACCGCAGCGAACAGCATCAGCAGCAAGTCGTTCCGGTCAAAGGCGTTAATATTCCATGGTTGCAGAAAAGAAAAGTAGCAGAGGGAAAAGTATCTGCGTTTGTGGAACCGCTCGCCTCGTATTTGCATCTTTTCCCCTTGTGCGTTCTTGCAAGTGTTCGTCTTCGGCTGATGCTGGGCTTCCTGGAAGTCCCTCATTAGTACATTTTGTCTGCTCCTACAGGCTCCCCCTTCCCCCTCGCTTGCTCCTGTTTCTCATTTGTACCTCTACGTGTATAGTAATGTCATTCCTTTCTTGGTGTGAGTTGGTTCTGTGCGAACTTGTCTCGCAGATTTTCGTTTCTCTCTTCACCGTTTTTTTCTTCTCGCCTTTTTGGGCCTTTCCCTGCGCACCGTCCGTCAGCGGTTTTTATAGATTAGAAATGGAAGGGAACGACAGGCATACCGTATTAAAACGTGAGTGAGAGGCAAAAAAATCAACGGTGTTGGCGGTGGTGATGTTGTTTAGATCCTTTCTCTGTTTTTATATTCTCCGTTGCGTGCTGGTTTACACTACATGATTGTATTTTCTATCTCTTTTTCTTTACAGCGAAGTCAACCAGGTTGGTTTCACCCGTGTGCGTGCGCGTACGTACCCTGCGTTTCTTGTTAGATCACTGATGTCCCCGTCCATCTCAACAACAAGCTAAAAAACTCAATAATGAGAAGAAACGTGACAGGATGAAGTCAGAGGTTTTTTTTTCTTCCTCTCTGTGTGATGGCTACACTGGAAGGAGAATTGCTGGCGGCGCCATTCCGCTGTGCTCCACCACACCAGGGATGTGCGTTTCCTATCGCCGAGGGGCGGTGCCCAGACCAAGGGTTTGGCACAGGCACCCATCCCTTCCTTTCCCCCCCTCCCTTTCTCGATAACACACAACCTAAACAGTGCAGATAGCTCGGCGTCGTGACATCAAAGCACCCCCTTCCTTGGGTGTTCCTGTCCCCGTATGATCAAGAGAAAATGCAAAACCGACTTGATATGATGTTGTACTGACCTTCCCATATTCTTGTTGTCTCTCACCCTTTTTCGCCCTTTGTCCCATCTTATAATTGTTGTACCACACGCGTATTATAGCGCTAGTTTCGAGGAGGAAGGAAAAAGAAAAACAAAACCAGTAAAAGAGAAGAAGCCGCAGCCGGCGAACGACGCACAGGAACGGCTCAGTGATGCTCCACCAAGAACCTGCGAAGTACGATTCACCGCCGTTCTCCGCGCTCGGCGAGCGAGAGATGGCGGCGACACCGATGAGCACCGCCGCATCTACCAGCGGGAGCGGCGTTCGCACGTCGTCGGCGCATCAGCACTTTAGTCAGCAGCAGCTGCTGCGGCACAGTCTCGTCGGTCGAACTTCCTACGTGGCTGGGATGCGCAACGCCACGGCCTACGCCCCACCGGGTGACGCCGGCAGCGCGGGAAGCTCCCTCCCCCTCGTCCCCGCCTCTCCCCCGCCGCTCGCCGACTCCGATAGCGCGGAGGCGGTCAGCGGCGGCGGCGGCGGTGCGTACGCGACCTACGAAGCTGGGGTGGCGACGACGCCGGGTGGGACGGTGGTGCTGCAGCCCTCGTACACAGCGCCGCAGGACGCAGTTCTCACCCCGGTCGGGGAGGACTTTGTGCATGAGGTGCTGGCGATGAACACCATGGCGATGGAGCAGTGCTACGCGGCGCTCGGCAGCAGCGCGACGCCGTCCATTGCGGCCGCGACCGAAGAGCCCATGACGATCTTACGCGAGGCCTTCATGCGACTCGATGACACCTCCGCACAGGACCTGCCGGGGCCGCTGCTAGATCAGCTGAAGGCGACCACGATGAACAACATGGGAGTGGTAGAGTGCAATCGCGGCCAGCCGCGTCAGGCGCTGAGCCACTTCGAGGCAGCGCGGCAGCTGGAGGAGAACAACGACACCGCTTCCCCTTCTGTGGCCCTCAACACGTGTGCGGCGTACAACGCACTGCGCATGTACGACAAGGCCACCGCCGCCGCGCTGGAGGCGATCGACATGCTGCGTGCGTTGGAGGCGCAGCGGCAACGCAGTCGTCGCATCAAGGCAGCGGTGTCCCAGCAGCGCTCGCCGATGTCGACTAGCAAAAGCATGAATGCCACCGCTGGCCGCGGTGATAACAAGACGGCGGACGAGGCAGCGGCGTTGGATGATGCGTTGCTGTTGGAGGCTGCGGCTGCCCCACAAATCGCGGAGTCGCAGAACGCCGCGCTGTGGGGTGCGGCGTGGAATAACCTGGCCGTCGCGCAGATCAACACGGCTCGGGAAGCGTCTTCGAAGGACACGAGTGAGTACACCAACACGCTGACGCTCTTTCAGAACGCGATGCGGGCGACGCAGGACCTACTCGGCCCGCAGCACCCCATGTCAAAGGCGGTCGTGGAGACGTATCGCTCCGTCCGCCTGGCGCTGCGCCACCACGGCGCCTTCAAGCAGCACCGCACGCTGCTGCGAGCGCCGCAACCGCCGGTGGACCCGCGTGTGCAGGCGTGGGAGGAGGAGCAAGTCGAGGCCGCCCCCGGGCAGACACGACACAACGCCATTGTGAAGCAGCGCCAGCAGCTCACCATCACCTTCCGCGGCGAGGTGACGGGCGGGCAGAAGCTGACTGAGCGCGTTGACGGCTCACCGTACCCGGGCGCTGTGGAGGAGGCATACCAGAGCCGACGCGGCGCCGCATCCAGCGGACGTGGCGCACGGACAGACAGCGCCAACCGCAGCAAGCACCGCGGCAAGCGCACCGCGTCCTCGAAGTCGAGGCAGAACATCAATGACGGGGTGTTGCGTGGGATGCCGCACAGCGAGACGCTGAAGCGCGCGAGTGTCGTCTACGGCAACCCCCACCCGCTTCTCTACACCCCACCACCCGCGCAGCTGCAGCAGTTTCAGCCGAGCGAGACGGCGCCGGCGTCGCTGCCCGGTAGCGCGCGAGGGCCACCGCGGGAGATGGAGATGCATTTCAACCGGGACGATGTCGGCGCTGCGGCCACCACGGGTAGGAAGATCAACAGCGCACGCAGCGGCCGACCGTCACCGCCGCCGCTGCCGCGCCACCAACCTCCTCCCCCGCAGCAGCAGCAACAGCGCATCCCGCGACAGCAGAACTCGGCCTCCGCTCGCTCCGGCGTGCAGTCCTCGCAGAACTCCATGCTGCCGCCGATTGCACAGGGGAAGAAGTACGGCCAAGTTCCAGCTGACTACAGCGAGAACGCGGGCAGCTCGGTGTTCATGCACATCCCACCGCCGCCGCCACCACCGCGGAATGACTTCTCTGCTGCGACGACAGCGGCGCGTCTGCAGCACTCCAAGATGCTTCTTCTAGCTTCTCCCTCGTCGGCAGATGCATCCTCGGCCGGTCAGTTTGGAGGCTACCTCGCTGCTGACTCCTCTTCTCAAGCGGCGCGTGAGGCTGAAAGCATTCTCGCGTCCGGCGAGCCGACCATCCACTCGCGCAAACCTCTCACACCACCCGGCGACGACGGCGATGATGTGCACGGCACCGAGAACGCCGCCGCACGAGACGACCACAACCGCAGTGATAAGCCGTCGCATGAGCTCTTTCAAGGCATGTGGGTGACGGCGGACACCAGTTACGTCTACCGCGGGCCACGCGTGTTTGGTTGCCCGGTCTACTACACTATCTCGACAACGCTGGACGTGGACGAGGACGGCGTGTCAGGCGCGCCACGGAGCACGACGGAGGGCGGAGCCAACCACGGCGACAACAACACGGCAGCGTCGGCGTCTGCGGAAGCGGCGACGGGCGGCGCGGCGCCGCTCGCGTTGACCTACAGCGATAGCAGCGATGACGAGGGCGATGCGGTTCACAACAGCGGTGGCGACCGGTATTCGGGCAGCGGTGCGCACTCCCCTGCGGTTGGCGAGGACGGCACCGAGCAGGAGATATAATACTCGAGGGGTTCTACTGCTGCTCTGCTGAATAAGAAGTTAGCTCGCGGGAGACCGTTGCATCGGATCTTCCTCGCCACAGACACTCACCAACAACAACGACAACAACAAAAAGAATGTCAGATAGACTGCTTTACCCGCTGCGGCAACCTCATCCTGCCGTGCTCTTTCCAAGAGAAAAACAGTCACCTGAAAGCCCTTTTTTTTACACATCTATATATCTCTCTCTACCTATCTGTTTTTCTTTTCTTTTTTTCATTGGTTTGGTTTGTCTCTCCTTTGATATCAGCTTTTTTCTCCAGTTCCCATGTATACGAGCGTGTTTTCTTTCCTGTCACAGTAGGGCGTAGAGGAATGAACTGGCAGTTGTCGATCGTGGTTTCTTCGAGTTGTGTCTTGCGTGGCTTTTGGCCGCCTTTTTGCTTGTTTATTGCCACTTCTCCTCTCTCTCTCGCTTTCTGATGGAATCCGCTGTTTGGCGCTTTTCTCTTGCATTTTCTTCCCCCCCCCCCCTTCATGGCCCGCCGTGGGCTACTACTTCTACTTCTTCTTCACTTTATCATTAGTGTTGCTTCCATTTCCCCAGAGGAGCGTGAGAAGACCCAACCACGGCGAGGTGAGGGGGTGCGCCGGATGCGCGCCGGCGCCGATGTAAAGCTGCAATTGTGTTTTTTCTTTTGATGGATTCTGTTTTGATTTTTCTCTTCTAATTGACTTCACCGATGTGATATTCTTGTGTATTCCCCACAGCACCTCTGAAAACGAAAACAAAGCAAGAACAGAAGTGGAGAGGAGTTTCCACCCCAGACGGTGGAATAAGCATACCCATGTGCATCTGTCTCTCTGTGTATGTGTGTGTGTGTGTGTGGTCTGTACATGGTGCCTTCTCGACGAGAGAGAGAGAGGGAAAACAGGGAAAAGGACAGCAGCAGCAACAACTGCGTTTCTCCAACAGCCTTTGACGGACCAAACACAGCGGAACTTGTATGGCTCCGCGTGCGACACTCGCAAAGGAGGAGAGAAAGAAAAAGAGAAAAAACCAGCGGTATCTTTTGGTTTTCTCCTTCGCTGCCCTGCAGCTCATTGTGCATCGACGCAGCTTTTTTTTTCTCATTTAGAAAAAAATTTCCTTGAAGAGCTGCTTCTTTAATAATTAACTCCTCAACAACGCTCTTCTGCCCCTCGTGCTTTTTAAAACTGCATTTCTGCCTCGCGTACTTCTCTGCGCGCACACACGATGACCCTTTCCCCACCTCTAGCATCTGTCTGCTTTCTTGTATTTCTATTCTTCGTTAACCTATTCGCCACGTTCATCATGCGTGCCGCCGTACGCCAGAAGTGGGCTTCTCTCTTGGCCATCTCCGGCTCCTCATCGAGCACCGCTACTCCTGAATCACACCGCACGGATGACAGCTACTGTTCCAGAGGTACAGGCTCTACGCATTCCACCGATGACGACACGCACACGAGCGCTACGTCGTCTTCATCTGAGATGAGCAGCTCTGGGACTTCCTCAGCGTCATCAGCAGCAAAGACACACAACAGCACATCCACTTCTTCGGCGGCATCGAGTTCGAGCAGCGGCATCAGCAGCAGCAATACCAGTGGTGCGTCGTCGACGAAACGAGCTCCAAGTTCTCTTGCCTCCAGCTCCGATGCATTAACGAAAACGTCTGCGAATAAAGATAGAAGTAAAGCTGCTGCGGCGAACCGTGCTGCATCAGAGCTGTCTCCTTCGGCTTCGACCACCTCCACCTCGAACGGCGTGGCAATCGATGATGCCGACGCGTTGGTGCAACTGCCCTCGTCCCCTTCGCCGCAGCAATATCTGCGTGGGTCAGCGAATGCCGCCCAGACCTCGGCAGTTTCTTCCTTTCCTAGTCAGCACCTCGCCTGCCGCGCAGGTGGTGCGGGGAACCCGCAGCAACCGGGAGTGGCTTCCCTGCAACTACACGGCTCCCGATCCGTGGACCCGGCTTCTCCGGCCAGTCCCTATCACTTCTCGGAGGAGGAACTCGCCCGGCAGCCGTGGGTGATCGAGTGTGACGCGACGACACACACGAGCGAGGAGGGCGGCCTCGTCACCCGTGCGGTGGATGTGCTGGAGACGATTCACACGACTCCGATTGCGGTGCCGCCCCCACCCGAAGAGGCGGCGCGACGTCGTCGTGAGGGCGGTCTGCCGTACCCGAGCCACCTCACTTTTCGCATTATCCCTCAAACGGCGGGGGGCGCTGATGCCGACGGCGCTGCCGCTGCCGACGGCGCGGCGAGGAGAGACAAGGAAGGCAAAACAGCCTTGACAGGCGACAGGGCTACAACAGGGGCAGGCGGACGCGTGCAGAAGACTGCATGCGACAGCTGCTGTGGTGGCCACTTGTACCGCAAGCGCGAAGAGGCGCAGCGCAAGGCAGAGGAGCGCGCCGCCGCACGCCAGAAGTCCTACCACAACCAACTGCGCAGTCATCACGTGCCGCTCGTAAACTTCCGCACCACGCGTGACCCGGCGGTCAACTTAATCGACGCAGACACCACGCTGCCCACCGTGGAGGAGGCGGCGGGGTACCGGCACTACGAAGAGGACCTGCAAGGGGCGGAGGCGAACCCGAAGAAGCTGGAGAAGGCCATGCGTCAGCGCCGGCGTCCTGCGAGTGGGCTGCATTGGAAGACGAAGTACGCCTTTGGCCGTCGCGCCGGCGGGGGGCCGCGTGGCGTAGGGGAGTCGGCGTTTGCGCGCGAGGGCGACCCGCAGCGGTTTTGGATCGCGCAACTGCACGAGCGATCGCAGGTACATCTGGAAATGATCGAGACCGAGTAAAGAAGAAGGGAGAAAATCTGTGCATGCGTGTGTGCATATGAGTGTTGGCGCTGACGTGGCGTGTGTGTGTGTGTGTGAAGTAACATCAGCGAACACGAACAATAATAATTCCCTGAATGAATGTACGCTGCGTTGAATCCTTCTTCTTTTCTTAAATAGATATTATCCCACAAATTGTACTGCGTTGCTGCTGTTCTTTAACCCTCTCTATACAACGATGATGCATCACAAATATCACATCGATCTTCTCTTTTTTTTTGAAACCTGTTTTTCACCCTTTCTGCCGAGTGCTCTGCTGCCTGTTACTTCGCGACCTTCCTTTAATTACATATATATTTGTTCTCTGATCTCTGCTGATACGTGTGATGCTTCGTGGGCACAATAGGTAGCTTTACGAAGCGGCACGCACACACACACCCGGAGGAACACCGATTGCTTTTCCCCTTTTTTAAAGGGGGGAGAGAAAGAGAGGACGCGAGACAATCAACCGGTGTACGTTGGCAGACCCATTTTGTTTTCTTCTGTACTTCACCCTTGTACCATTATATTTTCTCCTCTCATTCTCACACACTTGTTGGGAGACGAGCCAAATAGCAAGCAAACAGCCACGTAGCATGTCAGTGGGGGACGGGAGGCGTACACGATGCCTTACTTCTTGCACGATGAACATTCCTGTCACGCGCATTTGTACCGCAACGCAACGGTGTTGTTGTGTCTCTGTTTGGTTCCTTCCATCGCTCTTCACTTCTCGCCTTTTCTTTCCCTTTTCTTTGTCCCTCTACTGCGGGGCTTGGTCTTTCTCCTCCGCAGCCGTGCAACTCAACGTTTGCTGACCCCCTCCGTGCTTTTTCCAGGGTTGGGCACTCTTTGCTTAATGGGAACGCAGGGGTTTTACACTCAACGACTCGGACGCATTGCCAAGAGAGGTGGAGGGACTCCTCCAGAACCTGCTCGCTCACGTTATCTTCTATATAATTCCCCCTCCGGCTCTTTCGCTAGCTGCGGCTGCACTTTTTCTTTTATTGATTCTACCCCGACAGGGCCGGCTTTTGGCGTCGCACGGTTTTCGCTGCCAACAAACGGGTCAGCTTCTTCTTCTTAAAAAAAAACTGTTTTTTTTTCTCTTGCCCACAACCCTTTTGTTGTTTGCTTGACGTCTCCCTCCAGCCAGCATTACCATAATAAATAGAGAGGGGAAAACGGACATAGTTGGACTTCTGCGTTGTCTCTCCCGATCTCTGCTTCTATACACCGTCCACTCCACACACACACGCCCACGTACACACACACATACGGAATACAACAACAACAAAGACACATATATCTTTGCTGCTGAAAAATTCAAGAGTTTTTGAAGTATTGTTTTCGCACTCACACCACCAACAACAGCGGAAGAATCAAAGCGAACAAAGAACCGCGGTCGCTGCACTGTCACCATGCAGCGCACCGTCGCTGTTCTCTGCGGTGGTGGGCCCTACCACGTCCCCACGCTCGCCCGCGTCGCCCTCTTCCCCATCCACCTCGATCCCCCGACCCGCCAGCACCGTGAGCTGTTTCGCCTGCTGCTCGGTGCGCCGGACCTCGCCACGCTTTCACAGCCACCACCCCTGGCTGCGGTGGCGACGCCTGCGATGTCGATGGCACCCCCCAGCTCGTCTGGCACCGCACGGACTTCACAGTCTGCCTCGGCGGGCTCGCCGGTCTCGGCCGCCGCCGGGTTGAAAGGGAAGCTCCAGAGCTTTATGCAACGACAAAAGGGCGTCGGCGAGGGCGGCCCCTCCATTGGAGGCAGCTCCACACCTTCCTCCAGCGGCGCCGTCGCCCCTGCGGCGAACTTCCTCGACGCGGACCCGATCTTCTGCGGCTCCTCCTCTCCGTTTTGGTACATGGAGGCCTTCGCCACGAGTCTGCGCGAGGACAGCCAACTCGCCCCCTTTGACGACATTATTTTGATCCCCAACACGCGCGGCCCGGTGAGTCTGCGGCAGTCGACGCACCTCGCCGCGCTGGCCGTCCTCGCCACCCGCGGCCTGGCACACGTCCATGTCGACTTCACCGCCCTCGAGCATCCTGATGAGTCGATGCCGATCATCTACGAACTTGTCTGCAAGTACACGAACTGCGTCCTCATGCACTGGCTGCAGGACGCCTACGAGATGCAGAACTGGAGCCACTTCGCGGAGTTCAAGAACACCGTGCCGATGTTGCTGCTGCAGACACAGAGTTACCCCCCACGTGCGCTGGAGCGGCAGCGGCCCCTCGGCAGCGTATCGCGACTCCCCTCTCGCCAGTACCACTCCCCCCCCAGCCCCTACGTGCGCAGCCCCGCGGAGGCGGCGTACTACCGCAGTGCGGAGCAATTTATGCACGCCTCCATGATGATGCGGCGGCGCAACCCGTCCCCGATGGCGCTGGTTGGTGGGGGCGACTACGTGGACACGGACATGCGAGAGCGCTACGAGAGCGCCTCCCTGGTGAACCGGGAGACGGACTACTTCGATGACGTACCGGACGGCCCACCGAACCATCGCCGGGCGGAGGAGATGGCGGTGGTGTCATCATCTTCTTCCACGGGTGCGGCGGCGTGGCGGGGGGAGGAGTCCGAAGCGGCGCGCGGGACGCCGCCGCCTACAGCGCATGAGAGGGCCTTCGTCCGCTCCCCGCTGCTGCGTGGGGGGCAGACAACGACTCGCACGGCCTCCACAACCACGCCTGGAGGGCCAAACCGTAGTAGTGGTGGTAGCAGCAGCAGCAGTACCGTCGTGCCGCGGTCCGCGTCGACCGGACGCGATCGGCTCGGCCTGAGCTACGCTGACTGTGCGAAGGGTCGCTGGTGGAACACACCTGGTGGCCGCGGCGATGACGAGGTGGAGCTGAGCCGGGCCTACTGGAGCTCGACGAGCAGCAGCTGGTTGGGCGGCGGCGGCACGGGGGCGACGTCGTCGCTGCCGGACTGGATGGAGGAGGTCGGGGCAACGGCCAAGGCGAACACGAGGAACCATCGCCGCACCACAGAGCACCACGCGTCGTCGACACAGATCTCGGACCCGGCCCTGGCGGAGGAGGCAGATGAGAACGTGCGGGGCGGCGGGGCAGCCGCAACCGCCGCCGCAGCGCCGCCGAACGGGGAGCGTGACGCGCAGGGTCTGGACACGGTGGTGTCAGATGACGGCTTTGCGCTCGCCGTGGAGGAGCAGCACGGCGAACATGTGGATGTCGGCGACGACGCAGGGACAACGTCGGAGAGAGACAACGAAGCATCTCCGCAGGTGATGTCTTCCCTGTCGAGCGAGTCGGTGGCGCGTGAGAGCGCCGACGAGGACACCCGCAAGCGCTACCTCACTCGCGAGATCGAAGACGTGCGGAAGATGTTGGACGGGATGCTGCGCCTTTCCGGCGTCGCCTCCGCGGCATCTTCATCTTCAGCAACAGCAGCCGCCGCCGCCGCAGCTGGAGCCGCGTCGGAGAACGCAAAAAGCATGCCGCTCTCTTCACAGGGAGGGGCGGCAACGAGCAGCAGCAGCAACTCCACCGTTAGCGGTGCTTTGAGTAAATTCGGGCCTGCACGGGCGCCTGGTCGCGACTTTGGTCTCTATGAGGCGCACCACCACGATGCCCACGGCCACAACCGTCGCCGCCACCGCTCCGTTCGCCAGCTCATCGAGGAGCTCTTTCCACCCCGTGTGTACGGGCAACCCGCCACGGCTGCCGCTGCTGGGCCCACGGCGATCGGGGCTGTAGAGGATGGCATTCGCGAGTACTACGGTGGAAATCATGCAGCAGCTGCTGCTGCTGCAGCGAGTGGAAGTGGCAGTGGTCGGCTGTCACGAGCCGTGTCCTCTGCGTCTATCTTCAATACCGCCGTCAAGATAACACCGACCCATCTCGAACGCACGCAACAAGGTGGGCTGAATCGCAGCAGCAGGAGCGACGGTGACGCCAGCAAAAGCAAGAGGGATGAAGAAGGCAGCCGGATCAGCACCATTCCCAGCTCCGTCACGGACGGCGACGTGTACTCGTGGATCGACTCGCCGTTGGTGGAGGTCCACCCCATCACGCGCAGCACCGGCGCCGATGTCCGCCAGGCCCTGTGGGAGCAGGAGATCCACCCCTCCTCTATCCTCACGGACTGCGTGCAGCGGTACATGGAGGGGCACGGGCTCTACCGCGACCCCCGCAAGGCGACGGCGGCGTCGCTCTACGCCGGTGTGGGGGCGAACGACTTCAGCGGCTCCGCCCGCAGCGGTGGTGGGGTCGGCGGCCCAGGCGGCCAGCTCGGTGCGGCGGCCGAAGTCAGCGGCGGTTTTCGCGACCCGGCGACGGCCGGCAGCGGCAGCGCAGGCAGCAGCGGCGGTGGCGGAGTGGGGGTCAGCAGCAGTGCGGTGGGTAATACCATCATGGACGGCCGCACCGGTGTCCGCCGCGTTGCGCCGCGTGACACGTCGACGCTGTTCTTCCCGGGCTTAATCCCCCGGCTGGAGCTGCACTACGACCGCAACAACCTCCTCGCGCGGGAGCAGTTTGAGAAGCTGCGCCTCTTCCAGTGCCAGGACGGCGAGGAGCCAGATTTGATTGTACCGATTGGCGGGGATGGGTACATGATGCACTGCATCCGCAAGAACTGGCGCCGCTTTATCCCTTTTTACGGCGTCAACGCCGGCCATGTCGGGTACTTGCTGAACGATCGATCAACGCTGGAGGAACTCTTCTCCTCTCCATTGAAGTTGCACTTTACCACAATGCTCTACTGCCAAGCAGAGAAGGAAGGCGACACCGGCGAGCGCATGCTTCTCTCCGAGCTCGCCTTCAACGACGCCTGGGTGGAGCGCTCAAGCGGGCAGACGGCCCTCATTCGCATCTTGGTGAACGGGCAGGAGCGCATTCGACGTCTGCGCGGCGACGGCGTGCTCGTATCCACCGCGGCCGGCAGCACCGCGTACAGTCAGGCGTTGGGGGCCTCGCCGGTGCCTGTGGGTGCCCCGCTGATACAAGTCGTGGGCAGCAACGTCGTCTCCCCCGCGCAGTGGCGACCCGCGCATTTAGACCAGGAAGATCAGGTGGAGTTTGAGGTGATCGACAGCACCAAGCGACCGTGCCGGTGCTACGTCGACTCCGTGGACGTGGGCAATGTCACGCGGCTGCTTGTCCGGTCCAGCCGCGTGGCCGGAGTGACGCTGGCCTTCTCCAAGAGCTGCGATCTGCAGCACAAGCTGTACCACATGCAGTTCCCCAAGACGCTGTGAGCGCCGTTGTCCCGCCAAAGACAAGCGCTGAAGGTACATTTGATAAAAGAAAGAAGCATGGACGCGTTCCCGAACGAATAGCACGGACTTGACGCTGTTCTTCATAAATGACGATACGCGCAGTGTCGTTTGCGCCTCCGCTCTTCAGCGTGTGTGTTTTCTTTTAGTTTATTTGCGCTTCTCTGCCGCCCGCCCTCCTTCCCCTGCTGTTGGCTTTTCATTTCGTTCTCTCGCACGCGTACCGTGTATGGTGCTGCACACGTGTTCATTGACAGTTCTGCATTGTGACATCGAAGAGAATCGTCTGTTAGTCACGTGAGTGTTGTGCATACGCTTGCTTCTCTCTCACGGTATGTGTGTGGGTGTGTGAGTGTGTGATACGTGCAGCTTGAGAGCCTCTGGGCGGTTCCTCGAAGAAATCAAAAATAAGGAATTTTGAAGGCGGAGTTGAAGGTGTGCGAACGGCTTCTGCTCCGCAGCCAACGTCGTGTTGGAGTACCTCACAATTGCAATGAAGGGAAAACACACACACACACACGCGCGCGCGGTTTGACGGTACTATATCTTTCAAAGTTACGTAACCGCAGCTCGAAGCTGATCTCGGCGTTAAATCGGTTCTGTTTGTGTGCTGTTATCGATGGCTTCATCGCTGCAGCAGGATGTTTGCGCGGGCGTTGAGGCACCTGGCTGCTCTGCATGCATAATTGAATGAAATGCGGCTGCGTTGCCAGCTCCCTCCCCCCGGGCGAATCCTATCCATTGGGGGTTCCCAACTGCATGTCGTGTGGCGGGTCTCGCGCTTCACTTTCGTCATCTCCACACGCACCTCCATTCGACTCTCTTCACAGCGAGTATTATTTTTATCCTTCCCTTGTTGCGCTGGAGAGACTTGCGTACGTCTGTATTCTTTTGCGAGAGGAGGACAGACACGACAGCAGCACCAACACCAAAGAATAGAGCTGGCGGGTACAATACAGCAGCCGTTCTTTCCCGTAAGTCGTAGGCTTACATCGCAGCAGAAACTCTGTCCCCTCTCTTTTGCACGGGCACACCGTTAGTTTACACCATAGATAGAATTATAAAACTAAGAAAAGATCGAAGAGGAAAGAAACTCAGACCTCGTTTCCTTTTTCCTCATCTCTCTTGCTTTCTGTAGAGTACTTTAGAAAAAACCACTTCCCAGCTTTCCAAACAGGGTGGAGAAGAGGGAGGTATCAGAAGCCCTAAATCGCCTTTTTTCCTGGCCTTCACCGTGCGGCTCACCGTCGCTTTTCGCTTCATATTTCTCCTCACTCCAGAGGCCCACACCGTTCGGGTTGAACAACACAACAAAACGGCCGTGCCATACACGCACCTGCTTTCTACGTCGGCTCTATCCCGGGACTGCTGCTAAAAGAAAACTAAGCAAGTAGAGAAGAAAGAAGGCGTTGTCCGAGAGAGAGAGAGAGAGATGGAGATGCACACACCAGAGCCGCGACGCACCCGCAACAGCGGCGGCGGGGCGGAGGGCGTCACACCGAAAGCGGAGCCCGTCAGCCCCACCCCCGCCTCCGCCCCTCGCGCCGGCTTTCTGCGACGGGGCGACAACGCCGCCACGGCCACCACGCTGCACGGCGCCCTCGCCGCCGGTCCGTCCGTGCTCTTAGACGACGACGCCGGCACCGCCGTGGCCGTGGACGCGTCACCGCCGCCGAGCCAACTGACGCAGTCGTCGCACTCGCAGCTGCCACCTGGGCAGACGCGGCTGCCTCGTCAGCGCCCGCGCTTCCACACCGTGCAAGACCTCGATGTGGCACTGAACCAAGCAATCGAGGGCAAGATCAACAGCCGCAACGCGTGGGTGAGCAAGGAGGCGAGCGACCTTCTCGAAGGCATCACACACACCATTGAGACGACGCTCGACGCGGCCTCGGCGGACGACTACGCCGGCTTTGCGAAGGCGGCCACGGTGGTGGAGGGCTGCTCGAAGGTGTGGACGAGTCGGGTGGACAGCACGTACCAGCAGAGCAACCAAATGGTGCAGCGCCTCCTCCGCGGAGACGACGCCTCAGGCAAGGCGCCCGGTGAGGACGGCGAGGACGGAGAGGGAGCTGACGAGAACGGCGATGAGGCGCAGCGCAATAAGAGCCGCTCGCGCAGTGCAGCAGCAGCGGCGGCGGCGGCCACCCGCACGCTCGCCTTGGATGCGACGGAGATCAACCTCGACAGCAAGAGTCGCACCGCGCTGACGCAGACAGGCGTGAACGCGCAATTCCGTGCCATCACCTCGAAGTTCGACCAGGGCAACGCGCAAGGCCTGTTGATGAACAACGCGCCTTTTGGCAGGGCGGGCAACATTATTTTAGATGTGGATTATTCCTTGCTGCCGGCCTCGGTGATGGCAGCGGGTCGGGTGAGTGGTGGACGGGGCAGCGGGCAGCGGGGACGCAAGCATACGGCAGGTGCAGAGCCCTCGGCCCTCACCTCGCTCAATGGCAGCAACAACGATGCTGAGCTGAGTGCGGACTCCGATCCGACTGCCGTTGCGTCGCGCACGTCGCAGCACGCCGCTGTTGAGCACGACGCGGCCGTATACGAAAGTGTTGGCGATTTCCCACCGTACGCCGGCGTTGCGGTGACGACTGGGCTGGACGCAACTGCCTCCCAATCGAGTTCGCCCCTCCAACCCTCCAGCGCACGCGGCTCCCTCGCCGTCTCTCAGCATGGCGGCGCGATGGACAAGCTGAACAGCGATCCACGGGCAAGTCAAATGAGCCAACTTGACCCGCTTCTGCTGCTTCCCCACACCTCTTCCTCTGCCTCGTCTTCTGCAATTCCAACCCTCGAGGACGGACACCGACGCTCCTCCTTCAAGACGGAGCCAAACAACTTGGGAGGAAGTCGCGCAGAAGGCCCTGTGGGAGGTGTGGATGAAGGGGCAGAGGAGGACGAGGACTACGGAGACTGGGGGGCTGGCGGTGGTGCCGATGACGATGACGAGGCCACGCCGTACACGGCAGATCATCCGCGCGTTGAGGCCGACAACTCGGACTGCGGTACTCCTACCACTAACACCGGCGGTGTCACTGTTGCTGCTGCTGCCGCGCGCGACTTGGGCCTCGAGGCACGTCACCTCGTCTCGGGTGTGACGGAGATGGAGGCGATGGACACCCTCTTCCACGGACACACTCAGCTTGCCCTGGAGGCGGAGGATCCGACGTCGTGGTGCCCGTTAAGCGAGGTGGCGAAGAATCCGCTGGCGGCCGGGCTGGGCAGGTCAGAGCTGTCACGGCTGCACCGCGAGCACCACTTTACGCAGCCGCAGAAGCAGCAGGCGGGGCCGGCAGGTGCTGCTGCTGCTGGTGGTGGCAGTGGCATGACCGGGACGGAGTCCCTCCTCAAATCGGAGAGCCCGACCAGCCCGGCCACGAAGAGGGGACGAAAGGAACGTACGGTGATGTTTCAGCTCCCCGACAGCGCCAGTCTTCACGGCTCTTCGGGGTCCGGTCTCGTGGCCTTCTCCACCACAGCGGAGCTACTCGAGGACGGTGCGCTGCGACAGGCCACGACGGCGGCACGCAACATCACATCGCTAGGGAAGCAGCTGTTACTCGCGAAGGACGCGGCGCACAGCGTGGTCGCTTACACCCAGAGCACCGTGCAGCGCGCCAAGGCAGAGGAAGCCGGTCTCGTGCTAGCAGAAGCGCCCATCCCCGGCAAAACCATCCCCTCCTACATGTCCTACCCTCTTCACACGCAGGACTTCTTTCAGCCCTTTTCCACGTCCCTCACGCAGTGGAACCTGCTGCGGAAGTCGGCCACGGGGCGGCTGATTGAGAGCAACGCCGGCGCGGATGGGACGGAGTCCGCCGCAGCACCGCCAAACACGACGGCCAGGGACGGCGGCAGTGCGGGTCACCGACTGGGGTACTACGGCTCGGGGGATGCGGTGGGCGCGAGGGCCTATGACGACGATGACGGCACTGGCCACCACAACCGCGAGGGTGACATGCCGGTTGAGTTCTTCCCTGGAGGGGCCGAGTTGGAGGGTGTGGACGGCGCGGAGGCCGGCGGCGACTACGCCGACTACGCGGACGTCTACGGACCGGATGATGATGGCAACGACAACGTGGCGGAGGAGGAGCGGCGGTACGTGCAGGAGGGCTTCCGTAGCTCGTCCGATGCACGCCTGGTGGCGCAGGTGGAGCTGGCAGCCGCCACCACAGCAGCAGCGTCGGCAACAAGAGGCTCCGCCGGCTCGGTGTTGTCTTCCTCTGCCACCTTCTCTGGGCGCAGCAGCGGCGACGGCGGTAACAACGCGGGGGGCTTGCTGGCGGACCCGATGGAACTGCTGGCGGTGCTCGATGCAGCGGAGGCGACGATACCGAGTCAGGTGGACGTGGTGCGGCTGCGACAGCTTATGTGGGAGGCACTGCAGGGTCACCTGTCAGCGAATCAGCAAGACAAGGCGGTGGACTTGACGGCGCTGCGCAGTGAGGCGGCGGGCGCTATTTTGACGGGTGCGGGTGGGGGAGAAGCGCAGGGGACGCGGAACGGTGTGCCGGTGACGACCCAGACGGCGGTGAAGGCACGCGCGCAGGCCGTTCTGAATCGTATTCGCAGGCGGACGCGTGCCGCCGCCGCCGCCGCGGACGAGGAGAGCAGCAGCGAGGAAGATAAGGTGGAGAAGGAGGCAACGGAGAAGGGAGGAGAGGATGAAAGGCGGTTGCCACGGCGCCGGTCGGGCGAGACGGGCGTGGCGGACATCGCCGTGACAAGGTTTAGCGACGTGGTGCGTTCGGTCCTACCGCACATTGCCGCTGTCTCCTCCACCAACACCTTGTCCCCGGCGTTCTTCTTCTTTTCGGTGCTGTTTCTGGCGAATGAGCACAACGTAGTGCTGCAGAGTGTTGACTCCTTAGATGACCTGCGCGCGTGCGGGATTGCGCGTCGCGTAGGCGAGTGAAGGACCCGCTTTTCTTCTGTTGTTCTATTATTATTATTATCACCTTTGGTAGGAGAGTGCGAACCGTACTGCTTCTTCTCCCTGACGGACACCGCAAATGGCGACGCTTCGTCGATAGAGTGTAATTCTTATTTTTCTTTTTGGCATGCAGCGCACACGTGTGGGGTACTGCGATGCGCACTGCGGGGAAGCGCACGCGCGGGAGAGAGAGAGAGAGAATATACTCGCGTTGTTATTTGGTTTATTCACTGAAAGAGAGCGTTGATCACCTCGACTTTCGGGTTAAACACCACCCGCAGCCGCAGCCGCAGCAACAGCAGCAGCCAACAGTAGCCCACTTCAAAAGCCACTCTTTCTCTCTCTCAACAATGTGGTGCCTGTGCAATGAGATTCGTTGACTCTCCAGCTGCGCGCCTGCGTCCAAGTGCGTCCGCAATGGAAATCAAACAGCGAACGACGCGGCCTTTCTTGCGCTTTCGCACTTGACCTCCACATGGACTCTGAACTCCGTGCGGTGGTGGTAGTAGTCGTAAGTCAAGCTGCTCTGCATGTGGGGGATGCGAAACGGCGGTGCTGCTGGTGCTGCATTTGATCGCTGACACCGCACGCCTTCCTGTTGGGGGCGTACTCACTGAAAACTAATCCTCCGTCTAACCCTCTTCTTTCTCTCTATATACGTATATATATATCCTTGGTTTGCTGGCGTTCAGGCATCTCCGCTCTTTTCCTTTTATTTTTTCCTTCGCGTTTTTGCTCGATGTCGTACATCCCCCGTAGTCACTACCTCACCCTGCACGACACCTTGCGTCGGCTTCTCGGACCCAATGCCCAACTGGCGGCTTTCGTCAAGGCAAAGAAGAACTTCCAGTGCGACATGCTGGTGAACTGCGCCCAGACGGACCCAGAGACGCTGTATCGTGAAGGCGTGGCCGCCAGCAGCTCCGCCGACAGTGAAAGGAACACTTCCAGCTCGAGTAGCAGCAGTGCCGATCATGATACCGGTGCAGCGTCTTCGATCAACTATTCAAAGAAAGGCGTTAGCCTCGTGGCGCGTCAGCTGCAGGAGCTGCTGGGCTTCTGCGATGTCGTCCCGCACACCCGCCGCATCGACGTGGCCTTTCGGGACCGCACCGTCATCCAGCTCGCTCTGGGCGCCGGCAAAGCCGATTTACCCTTCGCCGTCGAAAAAGGCGAAGACATCAACCAAGAGCCGGACTGGCGCAAGCGCAATCGCCTGCGCGTCTCACTCGGCTTTGACGAGGAGCTCTTTCTTGCGGCCTGCACACGCACCATCAACGTCGCCGCACGCACGCTCGAGAAGTCCATGTACGATTACTTCCGCTACTCCGCCATGCTGCAGTTGTTTCCAGCGATGGCGGCCGCCTACGAGGCGAGTGGGCAGGACTGGCGCGCCGTGCTGCCTCCAATCATCTACTGGAAGGCGCACGGCTATGCTCTGGAAAAGGCGTACGGCTGTCGCCACTACCAGAACGCGGCCGCCACCGTCGAGCACAACTTTGCGGAGTACTACGGCGTGTTTCCGATGGACAACCCCTTCTGCCCTGGCGAGGACCTTAACACCATTGAGGTGGTGAGGTGGCTGTGTGAGGCTCGCAAGACGGGTGGGCTACTGACCCTCGGCACGGAGGCGTCTTTGCCGGAGGCGGCGACGAGAGAGGCGGCGCTGAGTACGCCAAGTTTTGAAGCTGCCCCGGCGGAGCCGACGCCCCAGTAAACTGAAAAATCGTAGCTGACGTTGTAGCACTGTGCAGTCGTCGTGTACTCGCTTCCTCCCCCGGAGGCATTCCGGAGCTGCCGCCGCTGCTGCTGCTGCACTTCCGATGAACGCAAGATCCGCCTGAGTGCGTCAGGGTTGGGGGTCCTTTTCCATATATAAATGTTTTCTCTCCTGCACCGTGAACGATAGTGGGCGACAGGGAAAAAGTCGTGGTGCAACCGAGAGTGGCGAAGAAGGCAAAGCTCCCGGACGAGCCTGAGGGGGCTCACCGTCATGTTCTCTCCTTTGTGGTTTTTCCTGTTTTTGCAGTTCGTCCACGTATCTTTCAACGGCGACTCATCGGGAGAGCGGAGAGCCCTTTTTTTTTCTTCCTTTGCTTTTTGCGGTGCGCCGTCTTGGAGCGGTGGGGGAGGTTCCTTTTTCCTTTCTTATCGGATCTGCCC